GCTCTGCTGTATTGTGCCTCATTCAGAAAAGCAGTCTGGGCTGAAATGGACAGAACATACTGTAAAGTTTGGACTAAAAACCTTGAGGACATCAGAAAAAATAAATGTCAGACAGTGCGGACGCTCTAAAACACTGCTACAGACTGTCTGCAGTAACAACACTCCTTATCATTCAAATGTTAATGGGTAGCTAAACTGCTGTGAGCTGAAAGGGTGGTCATATGTTAATATGTTCAAGTTTGTGACATCATAACCATGATACATTCAAAATGCTCTGTTTTTTTGCAGCTTATTTTCCATATACAGACTGGGGAGTGAACAGTATGTCTTATTATTACTTGTTTATTAACCCCTTAAATGGCCAGGACTGCTCTAAATTTTGCAGAAAAATGTAATATCTATGTTTGTTCTGTGTAGAGTGTATGTTAATTTATTTCACTTGTATACACACATGCACAGTTTGTCAGCCAACCTTCACCCCATTCAGCAGAGGTCAGTGACACTGACATGGTACTGGTATGGTAGTGTGTGTTTTGCTGGTGCGAGTGTATCAGACACAGCACTGTTGTTTGAGTTTTTATACACACCAGTGTCACTACCAGATTGAAAGTGGTCTGCCACCCAAAAACAAGAGCTGCCCACTGGTCAAACTGACCCTTTGATGAACAACTAGAGGATGGATAACACAAACATTGCATCCACTAATGGTCTTCAGTCTCTAACTGTACATCTACGAGGTAGTGGTTTTAATAAAGAGGCCATTAAGTGTCAATGGACATACATTACAGCTCATTCAGTATTTGTTGCCTGTATTGAATGCAGTAATGCATGAACAATAACTGATACGGTTGTAAGTACAGGCCAGTATTAAAGTAAGTATTGGCAACAATAGATACAAACCAAAACTCCTTTACGTTACCGTCTCTCAATCTAATCCAGACAAGTAGAAGCTTTGATAAACGTATTGGACGTCCAACGCCAATCAGACGACCCATTCAGTGTTTTCATGAACCATTAAGACTCATTTTAAGTCGTTAATAAAAGGGGCCGTCCAGCAGACAAAGAGAGAATAAAAGCCAAATGACTCATAAACAATCTTAGCAAATAACTGCAATTTCAGTCCTCTTGGAGATTTCACAGCCCAGTGAACACACACTCGGCTGCGCGCGCAGACACACACGCTCCATTACCCGTTCTCAATGCTGGCTTTACTTAATTTTTATGGAGCTGCCGACACAGAGTTTCTGGAAGTTGTGTGCCTGGCTGTCTGTTACTAATTACCAGCCTTAATCAGCTCACACCTAATTAATCTTAATGTGGAGCAAAAATGGTTAATTATAACTTTCACACCACAAACTGACCTAGTGAGCATGTTTTACAACAGAAGATAAAAACGTATATCAACATTCCAGCCAGCAGCCCTTCCTATCAGCCGCTGCTCTTTATAATGGATCATGTTATTTTATGTATTACCTGTATGGATGTGTTATCTGTTTAATATATCTCGTCATGCCCTGCCCACTGTGCTTTCATAGCAACTGTTGCTAGGTTGTACAAGCTTTACAGCACATTAGCTGTAATTTTTTTCTTTGCGTGAAATCAAGGTAACACTAGCACATTATAAAGGAGGAGGAAACACTTCATTGGTTAAAAAATGAACTGGTTTTTTGGGGCCAGTTCGTTTGCAGGATTAACCTGGAAAAAATGCATAATTTGTTCATTATTTGTAAGATGTCACAAAGTATTCATGTGATACCAGCAATTTCAAATATGTTTTTGAACATTAGGGTGGCTTTCAGAGTTCCAGGTTTTAGGTGGTCTACATAGGAGCCTTGTCTTCGATGAGTGGAAATAACTGCTCTTCTTTTATGTCTCTGGTTCCACTCAGATGGCAAAATGTGCTAGCTAACATCTCTGAAGAACATCAAATCTTAGCCAAGCAAGAGAGCAGTAAGACTGATATTTAGCACATTTCCAGACATTAAAATTTTTATGGGAAAAACATTTTTTATGGGAGACTCTTTGCTATGTGGTGACTCTAAAGAGATGCTATAGTGGTCCATTGCAAATAATATATATCGCTGTTAACAGAACAAAACCTCGTATCTCCAAAATGGTAACTTTACAGGACTTAATGTAAGTCAATGGAACCATTCTGCTGGAATAACTTATTTTCTAAAGAACAGCATTTTGATCTGCCACTTCAAAGTGCCACATGTGTAAATCTATTCTCATCAACTACAGTGTCTAGCAACAATAGACTGGCCATCAGGAGGTTGCAGTGAAGTCACTGTGACCATAGTGAGCTAGACTAGACAAAGGTCCAAGGCTAAAAGTTCTAGTCAAGTCTTCATATTCAGTCAAAGGTGTGTGTGATACAGCAGTGGGGAACACATTTAGTGGACATTACAATAAAAGAACAGAAAAAAGAACAACTGAAAGTGAACAGCCACCAATATGTGGCTGAATAGGTTGACCAAACTATGCTAACACTGACTGAAAGATAGTAGCAATTTACATTATGTGAATTGACAGCTATTAGCTTTCAGTGACTGTTAGCACTTTCAGGAGATCCGGTCTTTTAATACGTGAACACAAACATATTTAATATTTAGTCTCTTTCCTACTGAAAGATAAGTGAACGCAGAGTAAATAGTCCTATAGATTAGTTTTACAAATAATTACACATGTTAAGCATGCCACCAACTGGCCACTGCACATTACTGCAGTGAACTCTGAACTGAACTTTTATAAATATCATTGACAGATGTAATTTCATCCAAATTATTTTCATTTTCCATGATTATTATTTTCATTTCAATTCCATGATTCTTCAACATTTCATAATAATTCATAATAATAATGCATAATTCACTCTGAGATCTTTCAAAGAAAAATGCAACCTTCTATAGAGTCTTTCTGAGTCAGAGCTGTGCACAATGGCAAAGATAGGAAGCCAGGGTCTAGAGACTATTCAAGCTGTCACAGAACATCATCATACAAAACAGTTATGAACATATTACCTGAGGCCTTAATGGCAATTTTATGACTGTATTTATACTCATATCCTGTAGTTACTTCCATGAAAAGCATGTAGAGGGTTGCATGAAACAATAGCACGTAGAGAAAACTGATTTTTATGGATTGACTACAGTTCTAAAGTTCACATACAACATGTCATGTAAAAACTCATATTATGCACGTCACTTCACTGGTTGTTTGTGTAATAAATTAAAAACAGCAGTCGGGTTCCTGTCACTAACATCTAAGACTGTAAAGAAACAAGTCTGTTTCTCTAGAATGAACTGATTATTTTTCAAAAACAGTCAGTTCTCTACATCACCTTTGAGAAATCAGTGGGATTTCTTTTAAGTGCTGACTGGATAGGTGAGAAGCTTAGATGCTTTCTGTGTGTCTAAGACTGATAGAAAACTGAGATGGAACAAACTAAGTCATATTTTATCCTCAGATATGCACACATGAACCTGAATGAAAGTGATCAGTGATACTTCAGCAGTGCTTTGCTGCCACCATCTGCTCACTATGTGTCGTTGCAATACATTCATTTCAAAATTTCCATTCTGTCCTCTACCTCTGGGCAGCTTCTAAGGCAAGCATAATAGTGCACACTTAATGTGCCCTCAAAAGGCTGCTTTATCAGGAACACCGTTCTAATATTAGGTATGTAATATTAAGTAGGACGCCTCTTTTCTGTCAGAGCAGCCTGAATTCTTTGTAGTAGGGATTCAATGGTCACGGTTCACACGGTTCACACGGTTTTGGAAACATTCTTTAGTTCATGGACCCGGTTTGGTTGGCCTGTGATTTGTGCACTATCATGCTGGAAGTAGCCGGTAGAGGGTATCAACTGTGGCCATAAAGGGATGCAAATGGCCAGCTACAAACGATGTTCAAGCCTTATTAGGGGGCTTAATATATGCCAAGAAAACTTTCCTCACATGCTGTAAAGAAAATGTGCCATACATTTTACACATGGCACATTTTAGTTTTTTAACATTCGTTAGCTAAACAGTTAACTAAATTTTGAATAATCTATGAAAATGTAGAATTAACTCTTAGCTACATAGAATTACACTCTTAAAAAGGTTTGGTTCTTCAAATTTAAAACCATGAGTTCTATATAGAACCATTTCATTCTTTCATTTCAGGTTCTTTGCATAGTGAAAAGGTTCTTCAAATTAAAGGAGAATGTGTTGTATATGGTTCTGTATAGAACCTTTTTGAAAATGGTTCTGTATAGCAACAAAAAGGGCTCTTCTATTGTTCCAAGCTTGACATAACAATAGAAGAACCCTTTTTGGTGCCATTTTCAAAAAGGTTCTATACAGAACCATACACATTCTCCATCCATCTGAAGAAGCTTTTCACCATGCAAAGAACCACGAAAGCATGGTTCTATATAGAAGCATTGCCTTCTCTAAAGAACCATAGAAGAACCATGTTTTTAAGCATGTAACTTCACTAGCAGTTTGAAACCATTTAGGTTATACTATAATGGCTAATATTAGGCTGTTTAAGTATTTTTGGCTAAAATTTAAGGAAAAGTAGTAAAAAGGAAAAAAATCATTTTGACGCTCAGGATACATGAGAAGATCTTCAAGGCTGTTGCTGGTGGCTCTTCATGGAGCTAGCTGAGAGCATTAAGGCAAGGTGGGAGGTGGGGTGAAGAATTTAAAAATATAAGATCTTAAACTGTTTAAGTCGCTCCATAGTTCCACATGCTATTTCGTAGTTCTGATGCCGTCACTACGTCTCTAAAATATGGAAAACAGTAAAATAAAGTGGGTGTATCTAAGTAGGTGCAGCTAAGTGAGCAAGAAGGTGTGACTGGTACAAATGCAGGTGAAACACTCACCACTAATACACAAGTTTTTTTCTACATAAAAAGGAGATAATCTATTGAAGATTCTATTGTGATTTTCCACAGATAACAGATAATTAATAAACTGCTCATTTGAAAAATCAGACATTCAGTGATATTTCTTGTTTCTCTGTTTATTACAAGCAAATTTACAGTTTTTTGCTGTTAATAGCTACAGAAAAGCTGGCAAAAATCCACATATATCTACAGATACCAATCTGTTAAAAACTGTATACAAAAAGACCCCCAAACTGTACATTGATTCATATTACTACATATATGCTGTACAGTATACATTTAAATATACAGTATATATTCAGTTAAGAGCAACATCACACATTGTGCTGATGAATTGAAAAAGAAAAACAAACAAAAATGCAATTACACATTCGGTTAATCTGAATAGGCTGGCATTGATTTAGCCCCACTAGAGTCAGTAAAGCCTCAAATGAAAACAGTAGACGTGTAGAATAAAAGAGTATTTGGTCACACTTTTAGAACAGCAGCAAACGTACGTCAAAGTGTCTTTCTATTTTCAGTGTGAGCAAGTGTCACATATACATCCGCGTAGAAACAGTGCACGTCGACGTTTCTAATCAAAACCGTAACGTTGAAAGTCAAGAGGAAAGAAGAAGGTTAAAGCCATTTTTTAGCCTCTTCCTTTTGTTGTTTTTAACGCGGAGGTTGTCTGCTATGTCTCTAATTTTGGTTGGTATAAAACTGAAAGCAACACTCTAAATTGAGACAAGTAAGTAGTACTGTTGAACCTCTGAATACAAAAAGTAGCAAAATGACATTTTCCCCCCAATAAGATACAAAATACCTACATGTCTGACAGTTTTAGGACAGTATCCAGTGTTAGTCAGCGCTAGGCTACGTTCAGGAAAGCCCAGCGTCCAGGGAGTGATTCCTGGGTTACCCAAAAAGTTCTGATGCGGTACAGTGGCTTGTTGGAAAAGGCTCACAAAGAGCAACACAGGTTTCTTGCTCTTCATTCAACACATTTGTAAGGGAGCTGTTTGTTCTCGTAGCCCCGTCCTGAAGCGCTGTACGGAGAAATTAGCTCTGCTAATTCACATCATTGCTGTTATTGTTCGTAACATATCCAGTGACAACACTTACATTTCACATGGAGCAATATGAAGTGGCTTGGATTTTCCAAAGGAACAGCTCGACCAAACATGCTAACGTGGCTAACTTTGAGTGGAAGCTCATAGCATGATGTCCTTTGCTAACTGGTTGCTATCTGCTTCTGTTTGTTATTAGCAACGTTAGCATTTTTTGAACGAACTGCTCCATTTTTACATTCAAAATCCTGAAAAAAAAAAAACTCAGCAACATTGACAGAATAAATAAACGAACAAATAAGCTCTATTTTTCTTTCAGTGCCACACTGGTTTTAGGTTCCAACAACCCAAAATCATTATATAGTGGTTTAAAAAAATAGTGCGAAATTTAACAGTAGAATGGTAACCATATGTAAGCACTGTGCGCAAATGAGTGTTACTTGAAAATTATAACCTACAGAGTATATAAATATGCCCTTGTTTGGTTTCAGGTTTCAAGTTAGATAAGTAGTTTTTAAAGAGCAATTCAGAATTAGATACAGTAGGTCTACCTCATAACACTGAGTCAGGACACGTCTTAGCATTCGCAGCATTCTGTGACAAATCGAAACAGAAGTGTGTCAGAGGAGAACGTGGATTACAATGAGAATATGATGCAACATACATAAACAGGGTTCGTTCAGCTTAGCAGCTACACTGTTACCTCCGCAACACAGAACATGCAAATACTCACGATAACTCGTACGCTGATAACCTAAGAACAAGTGTTTCTGAGTGCTGACTGACAATGATTACATTCTGTCACATTAGAGCAATATACCTTTGGACCAGAAGCAAAGCCACCCATTCACCAAGTTAGGTTGTTCATTCATTCATTCATTTATTCACTCGTTCACTCATCCATCCATCCATTCATTCATTAGATAATTGTAAACCTCATGGACACACATCGATATATATATAGATATATGTATGCATGAAATAGAACATTCTAGCATTTTGATTTTGATTGTGACAAACATTTAAACTTTCATCTAAGAAATGTACATCTTTCCAAAGAAGCACCCTTGCCTCCCCCCTTCCATAACTGAACGTCACACATGACAAAAAAAAATAAATAAAAAAAAAATAAAAAAAATTCCAAAGCATTCACTTGGACATTCCTCATATTCTACCAGCTTCAGAGAAAAATATACATGCATCATGACCTTTTCCTAATTTAACATTTGAATGGTTGTACATAAACTCGGGTACTTCTTAAGAAGCACCAGAAGGCACCTACTCACAAGCAGCTAAGACATAAAAAAATAATAATAATACAATAACACTATCTGAACATTGGTCTTTTTAGCAATCAACACCTGCTCTCTTAACCTCGATCACCCTCCCCCACTCCCCCTCTCTCTGACTCTGCCATGGATGATGGTTATGACTTCTGAGATGGATGCTTGGCCATGTGGTGGTGTAAAAGACAGACAGTGAAAGAAGGGAAGAACCCAGAAGACATCTGAGGAAGCAAGCAAGGACAAAAGAGGACAAGGAAATGGAATGTAAAATGAAAGGAAACAAAAGGCACAAAGACAAACTGGTGAGATGAGTGAGATTTATAAAATGCATGGTTATTTTAAAGCATTCGAGAATCTGAATTGGAATGTAGATCTGAATTTGCGTTCACACCTGGCATTTTCCCAATTCAGATTCAGCTCAGTTTTCCAGTTCAGCTGCTCTAAGAGTTGTCCAATGTTAATGAGATGCTTTCATAGTTTATAAGCCAAGCACCAGTCGCAAAAACCATGTTTGCAAAGGTGAATCTTAAATGGCTCCTCTGTCCACTATGAGGTGCAGTCTAGCTAGGGCATCTGACCATTAAAGGGAAATAATACACAGAGTGAACAGTAATCCATTTGAGATTGAGGCCCAGAGCAAACCTGCTTATTAGACGACACATTAAATGGTGAACTGGACAACTGACACATGACGTTGAAAGACTGTCTGGTAGTGAGTGACAGAATGAAGCTAGCTTAGCTTAGCAACAAAAAGCTCCAACATGGAATTAGAAGCCTATATTTATGAGGAGTGCAATAAAGCTGCGTACAATACGCTTATGCTAATATGAAAGTTAGGCACTGAGCAAATAAACTGTGAACCGTTAGAGGCTAAAAGAATCTGTCAGGAACAAACATGTAATCAAGAGCCTTGGGTTGCTAAGCTAGCAGTGGCAGATATCATAAGAACTAAACTACTGCTACCTGTCTCTCCAGCAAGAAGCCCACCTTTTTATGCTAAACCATGACCACTCATTAAAAACCATAAACACTGTAATTAATGTCAGGAAAAACTGATCTCAGATCAGCCTAAAAAGGTACTTTCCATCAACGCTAGCTCTCTTTATCCCTCTGCTGGTGCAACATGTGAACTTAAGGCAGTGCGGTGGGATTCTTCTAATAACCCGTTCCCCACTCCCTCATTCTGTATATAAGGCAAAAATAACGCTAGTTTACTCTTATTTTACAACCTTTGGTGTCCAAACTACAGTATGAATCATGGGAGACATTGTGGCATTAAGGCAGAACAACATGGATGCTAAGGTAGATAGTTAGCTCTGTAAGCAAAACCCGCTAGTGAAGCTGCTAGCTTCTTGTTTCTGCTTTTTGAGAAGCTCAAATAAAAAGACTGTTTTTAAAGGGAAGGGGCTGACGGGTTCTACAGCCAATCTCTACGCAACTATGCTTAACAATAAGAAACTAGCTGTCATGACAACATGGAACCACACGGTTCTAGACCAGCATTTCCTAACCTTAGCCTTGGAGGTCCACCTACACTGTAGTTTTGTGTTTTTCCTCCAGGACTGGAGTCGAGAAATGTTGTTCTAGACTGCAATAGGGATGCACCGCTATGGGAATAGTGAGCCGATCCCGATATCCGAAAAGTTTTACATACATATCTACTGATACGGATAAATAAGGATTAATAAAATGAAGAAACAGGGATTATATCTACCTGGATTAGCATTACAGAGAAATGTAACTTTGATTTTCATAGCGTTTCATCGCCTAAACATTCTGTTGATCTGAAGAACAATAAATATGTCATCAAATATTGTTTAGACATATTAGTAAAATCTTATCATCTGTCCAATGCCAATCATTTTTTTAAAGTAACTATCTGCCGATACGATTCTGATATCATCGTGCATCCCTATTTTTTAGCGAGAGAGTTAATGTCTCGTCAAAGTCTCACTGTAGGAGCTAAGCTACTCCATTTGGTGTTGTATTATGGAAGAAATGTTGTGACAGTCCAGTTACAGCTTGCATCTTGTGTCTCCAAGACACCAGACACGTGCAGACTCACGACACAGTCTTGACTAGTCTAGTCTAGTGAAGAGGCAACACTGGCCAGAGTTCAGCCACTTACAGTGAAAAATAACAACGCCTTATGGGGTGTTCCTCAAAAACAGATTTGCACAAAGGCAACACCAGTTTGTTCTACATAAAAAAGAAAAAGAAAAAGAAAGAGAGAGAAGAAAAACAGGAGAAAATGAAGAGAAAAAAAGAGGAAAAAAATGAGGATCAGTTTTCAGAGCATGCAAGGCCATTTTAAATGCCAAACATTTATCCACATTCAGAGTGTACTATGTGCACTATTGGGTAAGTATTTGTGGTAACACTTTGTTGTAGTGCTCACAAGACTAGAACACCTACACAAGCCCCTCATGACAGCTGACACAAACCTACATAAACATTTATAAACTCTTATCCCAAAGTGTCATCTGTCACGAGTGCTGCTTTTGTCAGCTTTGATGTCAAGTTCTATGTCAGATGACAGAATGTTTTTCAGACGTTGGGTTGTGACGACACTTTTATAAAGTTTTATTAAGTCAAACTGTTTGTGGCAATACATATAATTAGCAATGGCTCAATTTGGCTGGCTAGTTTACAAGTCACTGGATCAGGGGTTTGCAATCTTTTACAACTGACCACAAAAGCTTTTGCATCCCACAAAAACCCACTTAAAAAAGCACCATGCATCTACATTTAAACTGAACTGAATTGAATAGCCTAACGAATTTCACTTGACTGGACAATTACGCAATGTAATAAACAACCAAAAAAAGTCTATAATTTTCTGTTTGTAGCCATTTATCCATGCTGGATGAATCCATACAATCAAACAGAGAAACCTTTTACACTGACTTGCACTGAAAACAAATATATCTGTGTCAACTACATTGGTAACATGTATTTTGCCAGACCAATCACTGAGCTTGATCTACTGAGGTATTTTTTATGTCTTTGCATAATTCATTTTTACAACAATAATATCTGTCACTTTCAATAGTTCATCAGTCAGTTGTCATAACATGCTATGTCATTTCACGCCAGAAAGTGTCATGACACAACCTAATGTCAGAAAGAAACTCTAGTGTTAAGTCAACTTGACATTAAAGCTAACAAATGCAACCTCTGACAGATAAAGCATATTGGAACAAACCAATATATTATAAATGTTTATGGCCATTTAAGTCAGCTGTCATGAAGAGCTTATTTAGGTGTCATACAGCCTTGAATATGACAACAAAAAAGTGTTACCATGTTTGTTTGACATTGAGAGGGGAAACTGCTCAATGCAAGTGTATTAGTTTCAAGTAATTTGTATATGGGATGAGAGAAGGAACAGTTGAGGGTAACATACATACCCACACACACACACACACACACACCCTACACAGGTGAATCAAGGTAAAAGGGTCCCAAGGCCCCCCTGCACAGCACTTTGAACACTCCTGTGGAGCTGCCAATCTGGCCGCACTCCAAAGCACCAAGCAACAGCCAGCCCTGTTGCTGTGTGTTGCCTTGGAGTACTGAGTGTGCACTTCAAGTGTGCACTTCTAGTGCGTACTTCGACAACCAACTTTTTCATAGGTATCGATTCAGGATCAGTTCTACGTTCACATACGCCAGTCTAAGGGGCATCCCAGTGTCAACATAGGACTGTCTAGACGTTTAGTCCATCTAGACCAGCAGGCTAGTCCAAACTAGTTTAGTTTCTCCTACTTTCAGACGGATGTTTCAGGCCCGGGTGCGGTGTAGGCGTAGCCCACCCCAGACAGCCTCGGGTTTTCCCCGAACGGAAGGAAGGAGCGGAAAGTGCAGTAGTTGGGCCCACCCCCCCAGTGGGTGTACATCACTTTTTTGGGAGGGGAGGAGTCAGACCTGCGGTGGGTGTGGTTTTGGCCCTCGTTGCGGCCCCGTCCGTGGACAGGTGGAGCGTGGAGGGAGGAGAGTGGGGTGAACTCCGACAGGTGACCCTTATAGAGTTTATCTGCATTCTGTGGAGAGAGGAAGAGGGGGAAAAAAGAAACAAAAAAGGAGGAGTGAAAGAAAGAGAGGTGTGTGAGAAATGTAAAAGGTAAGGGTTACATTTATGAACACCACATGCACAGGCGTCCGACGACCACGAAAGTGTTACACATGAGTAGGTCAAGGCAAAATAACCAGAAGCCCCAAACACAACATATGCAGCAAATGAACAAGTTGAATAAAACTCACACCATGCATTCATAAAAGGCTTTGTGAGAGAATAATGATCGTTCAGCCCTAGAAAGTGACCAACATGGAGACAAAACAAATACTTACATTCCTCTGTATCCAAAAGGTTTGGTGATGTGTAACCACATATGAAGACTTAATATTATAAAGACAGAGAAGGACTGAGAAAAGCTAAAGCCCAGCTTTATGACTCTAATATGACTAAAGATATTTTGCAGTATCACATTTGGACACTAGAGGGTCTCAGAGGGCAGTGGCAGAGAAACATATTATTACAAATTATATAATGTAATACACTATTTAATCTTCTTTGGCTCATAGAAATATTCAAACTGAAGAGGTGGTCATCAGCAGCCTCTAGGACTGAACGGTCATTGAATGGTACAGGTATATTTGTACTGTCTTGCTTTCACTGGAAAGGATACAAAGCAGATGAGAGCAATACAGCAAATCCTCACAGGTTTTTAGTAAAAATACAGTGAGGGGAACAAGTATTCAGATTCATTTGTTTTTGTTATTTAATATACATCCAGTGTATATATCCACTTCAAATGTACACACAGTGTCTTTTGACTTTGTACTTATAAATATGAACAAAAAGTATGTATTTATAAGCATGACAGAGACATCACAAATTAATAACATTAGTACTATTAGTACATTAGTACTGTTGCAAAGTAATTGAGGTCTCAAAGCAATCACAGGTTTGAGACAACTAGAGTAAGAAATAATTCGATCTTTGCAGCATTGTGGGTTTTCATAAGCTTCCTCACCTTGCTAACCAATGGCAACTTATTTTATAATAACACACACACACACACACACACACACACACATTTTGTAAGCCGCTTATCCTGCTGGGTCGCGGGGGGGAAGCTGGAGCCTATCCTAGCGGTCAATGGGCGGAAGGCAGAAACACCCTGGGCGGGTTGCCAGTCCATCGCAGGGCAGACAGACAGACATATACAGTCACACACACACACACACACACACACTCATTATAATAATACAAGCTGTAATATATATATATATATCCTTAATATGTGCTTATCAATACATATTTTTGATCATATTTGCAAGTACAAAGCCAAAATACATGATGTGTGTAAAGTACATGTACGCACTGGAAATATATTACATAATAAAAGCAGAAGTGTCTCAATACTTGTTTCCCCTTGCTTTGTAGTGAGTAAGAGCATGTGAGTGTGTGTATGTGAATGTGTGTATATAAATGTGTGCACATGTGCAACAACAGTGGAGCAATTACGCTCCACCAGTGTGTACACGCCAAACACTCTTTTCAAGTGAAGCTCCCAAACCAAACCAGACTGTTGGATTTCACAGCAAAACACTCCCACACCGTCGCACTGGGGGCATTTCAGCATCAGCACCATCAGACTCATCAAATCTAAACTCAGCTGAAGTGAACAAAGGAACATAATGCTAACCTGAGTTTCTCCTGACATGACATCACAGTGCGTTTGGAGATAATGGAGCCAAACTCTATCCATTTTCCATGCATGAAAGTTGTAATTGGGTCACGCTTTATTTTGATGGTCCTTATCTATGAACGCTCAAGTTGTTAAATTGTCTGGTGAAACTCATTTTATCACTACTAGACTTAAGCTAGGGTTTTATGGTTAAGGCCAGGGTTAGAGTGAATGCTATGTTTAGGGTAGAGATGTTTAGGGTACAGATCCAATATCAGCTCAATACAAGTTAAAAATGCTGGACTGGATATTTGCAGAAAAAAGAATAATTCAAATCTGATTCTTCAACAAATTTAGCCTGGAATATCGTAATTACATGTAGTGGTCATGACATTGAAGATCAAGACAGTAATGATAACATGACACTCTTATATTACTAAACATATGACAGCTGTCATGGCATGGTTATGTCAGTGTTATGTAACAGGATCCCAGCAAGGTGAAGAGGTGAACATCTATAAGCAACAACAGAGGACCATCAAAATAGTGCTGTCAGCAACTGTTGCAAATATCACTGATGCTAATGATGCTAAAATACACTGTGATGTCATATGAGGACAAGCCCACACCAAGGCGCCAGAAATGGCTGACACAAGGACATTTCTATGGAGACCTACTTTTGAATGAATTTAATGTAGATTTGGTCAGTCTGACAGTGAAATGTGTGTTAGTTTTAGACCCCCGTATTCTCTGTTTACCATGGAGCTGTTATGCTTCAGTGGTGGTCTGAGCCCCATCTAACAGTGAGTCCTCACTGTGTGTAAGAAAGGTCCTATCGGCTTTCATCCTCTGTGAACAGTCACACACACACACAGACTCAGCCTAAAGGTAATGACTGCATGCGGTCATGTGGGGACTTTGAATCCTTCTCCAGGGCACTAGAATGACAAAACTTTTAAACAAGTGAAAAACAACTGTAACAAGTTCCTGTTCAGGAGTATTAAAGGGCCCATAGATTTCCCCCCCACTGAAGTCCACTTGTCATCAGTCATTTTACAGGACAATTTTCCAACCTCTTTATAGCCTTTAATATGAAACAGGCTGTTTTTGTTACTATGTTACTTTAAAGCAACTGATATGTAAATGACCTGTTTTCTGATTGGCTACAGTTCAGGCTTTGCTAATGACTGTATGCAGTGACAACATTAGCCATCACTTCACTGTGAATGGGTGGCTGGACTGCTGCAGGCTGAATAGGTGGTCATATGTAAAGGTGTTGATGGCTGTGACATCACAACCATGATAATTTCCAAACGTGCTGATTCTTTTTTTTTTTTTTTGCTGCTTAGTTTCCACGTTAGACTGGGGTATGTTTTGAAACCTTAACAATGTTTACACACAGTACTGTGCAGAAGTCAAAGTCCACGCTTTATTTATTTAATTTTTAGTCTAAATATCCATCAAGTACCAGTTTTACATTTTTCAGCATCAGACAAAAAGCAGACAACATATTTCATAGTGACATGGTGACAGTTTTGGTGGTCTATCTGGATAGATGTTAGGAGCTGAATTTTCTCTTTATGTTTTAATATTTTTTAGTTCAGTTTTGGAAACTCTTGTTTTTTCTCTTATTTTCCTGTGACTTTCCCTTCTTTATGCTAGTGGATTATCTTATATCTCCTGAAAAATGAACTTGTACTTAATGGAAATTAAATAAATGAAAGTTTTTGACTTTTGCACAGTGCGTATTACATTGTATTACATCAAATTCTTATTTCTAAAAAACAAGCAAATGAGCTTTCCATTATGTGAGCCCTTCAATCATTTTCAGAAAATAATAATAAAAAAAAACATTTACAAAACATTGCATATATACAGCTTCCTTTGGAGACCCTGCGTAACATGTATCAATGACCAATGGACTTATCTTGACAGCACAATTCAGCACACAGATGTCCGCATTCATGCATGTGACCACACGTAACAGTACATGCCGTATAAAGGCACAGGAGCATAACTGGAACAAGCGTCACTCTAGGGTACTCGAGCACTGCGGTCACGGCTGACAGCTGACAGCTTAGGAAGCTCATGAGCCCGACTAATGCTTTTCCGATAATTCAGTAAGCTCTGTCATTTGCAGCGTCATGTAATGCTGTTAATAGATCCAGAATATTATGATTAAATACAAGTGTGTTTGGCCAACATTAAAACCTTTTCCATAATGAAGCAATAAAAATTACAGTAATTTACAATAAATCTTGTACAAATTACTTAACCCCTTAAACTGCAGGTGTATTACTTAGTTATTATTATTAAATCGTTTTCTCTTTTTACAAAGTCCCAAAAAGGGTTCTTTGACTTATAACAATAACAGAACCATTTGTGGTGCTATATAAATAATTTCGTGATAGGTCTTTTGAGAGTACCTTCCACAATAGGTTAAATATATAGCCCTTACCTTTACTGAAGAACCCTCGATTTAACTGTGTGCTACAAATAAGTTGGTAACTACCAGTTTCAAATGAATTATTTGATTTGATTTTGGTTTTACAAGTCACTGTGTTCTGTTTTTATTTGCATTTCACATACTGTCCCAACTTTTTTTGGAACTGGGGTTGGTTATATTCAAGTTATGTAGTTAAGTTTAAGGGGTTAAATCTCTCTTCTTCTCTTGGTCGTTTCAGATTTAAACTGCTGATCGTTAACTAGCTCTGCGTACCCTACAGCGACTTGTTCTAGACAAACACACACACATGCTGAGAGTGTGAAAGGATCACCTCCTGCTCAGTTCAGAAACTGATACTGCTGGAGGTCTGAGAGAGCATAAAGATGGTGGACTGCTCGGTGGTAAGGCACTGGCGCTTTGTCTGCCATTACCATGGCAACAGGAGGGGTCAGGGGTTTAAGACAAAGGGGAAAGGGTAAGTTCAAGGTTGCGATCGCACGCCACAGGGCAGGAGAGCGAAGGAGAGAAAGAGAAGGAAAGACAAAAGGGTTTAGAGCTGTTAACAAGGATGCAGGCAGTACATCTACTGTAGAAATACAGAGCCTTTCTATAGTAGCTGGCTTTGTACAACCTGACAGACACCTCCATACATGTTAGTCTATTAAATGTTAATCTCTAACACCTAGGGACAGTTTCCCAGACCCAGATTAACCTAGACTAAAAAAATCTAATGGTGATTCCCTATTGGGACTGCAGTTTGGTCTAAGACTAGGCTAATTTTGGTTGTATAGGCCATTTTTGGAGTATTTTTAGCTGTTTTAGTTAATAGCAAACTTATCTTCTTATTATAGAGCTAAAGCTTCAAAGAGCTGTCCAGCAAAAAAAGTTTTGCACAACTGTCCCCAAGACATGTTTGCACTGGAGCTATGAGGCTAACATATAGCCACCAATTAGCAAACTTCAAATCGCATGCCTAAAACATCATTTTGTACAAACCTTTGTCCATTTTAATAGATAACAGTATATCAAACAATACCACAAGCCACAAAAACAAGACTACATGAGACTACTTAACAACTCAACATGATATGTGGCAGATAATTGATACTTTAGGGTTAGGGATGTGCACAGATACTCAGGACTCTGTTAACGGTTCAGGGTGGCAGTATTCGAATGCTGAAATCACTATTTTATCTGTCATTTTTAATCACAGGGGAGAAAACATAAAGGCTAACAATTCAGTGAAATGTGGCGGTTTTTCTCATATTGCCGAAACATGAGCGTGTTGCCAAGGACTCGCTGTTAAAGATGTGACAGCCAGGGACAGCGCAGCTTTACTGCTAACTAGGCTAGCTACTCTAGCTGATATTAGTAGGTTCAGAAACAATGAAAATATATTTCTCTGACAAATAACATGTTGGCACATCATATAAGACAACGAGTCTACATCAGCATCCAACATCACACTTGTTAGCTCATTAGCTCTTCTGAGGAGGCAGCCTCTGTTACTCATCCAACACAAAAACCTTGATCTCGGCTATTTTAAATAATCAAACATGGTTTATTCAAGTGTATTTCTCCATGTGCTGCTATATTTTTGCTACATCAGTGCTGTCAATTTACAAGGTCAGCTTACAGCCCCACATTATTTTCAGCTAGAAAAAAGTCTGTCGAGTTTATGAACTCTTATGCATACTCAAAAATCAGTTAGTCAGAATGCACATCCCTAACTTATACATGCAGTTTGCACAGTGCTAAACTGGTGGATATAAGCTTTTATTACTTGTTAGCAACATTAGCCTCAAAGTATGCATGCAACACTAAGGAATTAAACTTCAGATGCCAAACATGTCTTGGCTGATCGACTACCTTAAGTATAAGGGGACAACTGTGTACACTAGTTTTTAATGCTAAACTGCTACTTTAAGGACTTTAAATTAAAGCAGTATAAAACCTCTGGGCAACTACAAAGGTATGTATAAAGAAAGGGTGAATAAGAAAGACAGACAATCAGTTCATATTGTTAGAAAACACACAAGCACACTCCAAACTCCAGAAAGGACATCTTCCAAAAACAAGCCGAAAAATGCTTGTTTTTTCCATTGTAAAATATTTTATCCTTTAAACGTTTTGTTCTACTTTCTGTTTTGCCTAATATTGCTGTAATATTAGACCTTAATATCAGTTATCATCATCATGTAAATTTATCATGAATTGCAGATGGAAAAATCAGAAAGCAGAATGAGAGAAGAGCAGAATTGGAACACTGCAGCTGAGGGCACTCAATGCTCACAGCAAATTCCCACTTACATTCTGTTGGCTTGGAACTGATCCATAGCAAATGTAAATCTAGAACCAGCCGATAAACACGGACAAAAAAGTAGAATACCTACAATAGCATTATATTCATTCTGTGACCCTAAAATGTGGTCACTTTGGACATTATTAGGACTGTAATATTAATACATTAACCAGTCAAAAGATTGAGGACACCTGCTTAACCTCGTCTTTTGGAATAGTAAAAATAAGAAAATCTTTCTATGAGCAGGTGTGTCCAAAGGTTAATGGTACCGTACCCATTGCTGTAGGCTTTGTACAGATCAAATTATAGAATAATTATAGACTTTCATTTGTGGTTTGACAAGCACTTTTACTCTTTCTCAAAAATATTAGTAGAACAACACCTACTGCACAAGCATAAGTAGACATACCTGTATTCTCTCAGTGGTGGTAGGGCCACAGTGCCCTACACAGGACCTTCTTGACCACATCTGGCAGCAGGCTGACCATGATCAGCAGTATGATACTGAGCCAGGCAGGCCCGCTGGCCAGCATCTGCATGAAGACATAGTACATCCTCTGATAGTTCAGGAACGGCCTTTTGGAAAGAGCAGAAAGAGAAACGTAGAAACTGAATGACTGTAATGACTTGGGTTGCACTGAAACTGTTATGCAACTAGTCATCAGGACACAATCTGTAACAATGCAAAAGCGAAAGTTTGGATAAAAATCAAATTTACTCAATTTATACAGTCAGCAAAACATGTTTGGTTAGTTTGCAATTGTTAAAGTTACAAACTTCCATGACTTGTTAGCTACATTAGACTCAAAGCTCCAGTTTCAAAACTTTAGACACAAAGCCAATGTCTTGGTTGATCAATAACAGTTGGAGTATAAGAGTAAACTGGATTTTTTTTGTATTTTTTGCATATTAGCATAGATCTGTGAAATATTCAACATTTTAGCATGTAATTTTGCACACACAGTGTTGTGTAAACATACAGCGTTGTGGAAAAGTCTTGGGTAGCCAAGAAAATTGTATGATGGCCCCAATATCCTATCATTATAATTAAACTGGCTGTTAGTGTGCCATTAAGACTGATTTATGTAAGGAGCTCTGTTCTGATAGGCTGCTCTGTATTGTGCCTCATTCAAAAAGCACCCCAGACTGAAACACTCTTTATAACTTCAGCATCAGTGGGTGGGGCTAAACTGCTGTAGATTGAATAGGTGGATATATGTAAATGTGTAATTTGTCATGACATCACAGAAACTGTGAATACAAAATGGGCTGTTGGCAGCTTAATTACTATATATGGACTGCATTAAATGGGAGTGAACGTTTTTTTTACAAGAAACAGAGAAATTCTGTTTTCCATGATACGGGCCCATCAAAATTTATGTCGGCAGTATGTTTTTGCCAGTAAAAACTAAATAATGTTAGACTTAACACAGATAAATAAAGTAAAATGTAAAGAAAGGTTAGAAGAATATGAATCCCTTCATCAGCACACCTAATTCAATTTAATGAAAAAGGGATCAACTAAACTAAACAATGAATGTTGACTATAAGTACTGGGCTTCTATGAGGAGAGGTGTGGAAGGAAATGGTTCAGCTAACATACCTACAGACAGAAAATCACAATGTATTGCTCACTTATGTTACTGCCCAGAAAAACAGCACTACATATCCTTTTTTTAGATGTCTAAGGCTTCTACGCAGTACTGCATTTATTAGTACACTATCTGCACCATCTACTGTTAAACAAAAAAAAACTGACTTCTCATTAGAAGAGGTGAAACCTACCAAATGATGCCCCCCCAGAGGAGTGAGAAGATCACGTAGAAAAGCAGCGAACCCCATATAACAAAGTGGTTGATCCACGTCCAGTAGTGTGTGTCAAGAGCGAGCTGCAGCACACGCATAAAAAACAGAATAATTCAGTTTAATATGAAAGTGAACATGTGAAACTGCATTACATTCATGGGCTAACTTCACATCTGCAAAAAGAGTGATGATCACAGAAGAGTGATCACCGATGCACTACTTAAATCGTGTATGGGTGCGAGTGCATGGTGCGCTACCTTTAACGTGACTGTAAATACCAGCACTGTGAACACTAACGTTCCGAACGTCCAGTTTCCAAACATCTGCAACAGAAAGATAGTAATAAAAGCAATAACACAAACTTAATATAAACAAATATTACACAAAGATATTTTAAAAAAGCAGTAATTTGAGTTAATCTACTTACCACAGCACTTACCCCTATTTAAAATTGTGAATTTGCACATAAAACCTATTATAAGCCACAGTGTCATTGTATTGATCAATAGAACTGAAGTGCTTTGTTCCATTCTGCTGCCTTTAATGTCCTAAAATTGCATTTGTTTTTATGTCCTGGCAGTAAAACTGCTTTTTTTCTTCCTATCTGAGGTCTCACTACATTAGCAAATATATAAACAGAGCCATCACCACATTTTCAGTAATGTTTTTTATTGATATCTTCAACGGTAAACTCAATGATGCAATATCCAGATTCATTTTAAGCACTAAAAGCTTCATAAATGTCCTTTAATGGATAGAGAATGCAGCCTGGTCAAAATAAAACTTTAATTGTTTTTGTCTGACTGAATGTGCGCATGCAGATTTTAAAGCCCCTCCTCCTCCCTATTTGCTGTCCAAACACACAGCTGATTCAGGGATACAACGGACGGCCCTTCTAGAAACTTCCTTCATATCCGCTGACCATCCTTTACCACAATGACTCACTTCGAAAACAGCACACAAACAGAGCCTTCAACAGCAGTGCTCATATACTTTACCTTTCAGCAGCAGGAATCACAGTTTAAAGAAGTACAATAAAACAAAAAACAAAAACAAGCCACTGCAAACATGAAGAAACACAGCATGTGATGGTGTATTTAGAGCTTTAGTGAACACCACGTGAAGTTGATGAGTTGCTAATACCAAAGTAAAACAGACGACACATGACGCACTGTGAACTTACCAGTGTGAGCAATCAAAATGAAATCTGTTGTTAAAAAGCACTGCAAGGGCGAAGGGTCTCCAAAAGATGCTAATAACACTGAGTTTTTTAGTCATTATAACACTGCTGAAGGTTATTTTACTGATGTCACTCAGTTAGAAGTAGTTAATACAGTGGCAGTCAAAAGTCTGGACACACCAGTTGAAGTTGTTCTGAGTAAACAATCACAGTACAGTAAGGAGTAAATAATTGGGCTCTGCTTTTCTTTTTAGTAATTACTGGCTATAACCACACAAAATTTAAAGTGTACACGGTGTTTAAATGGTTACATTCTACAACATCCTTAATTTTTATTTTATTTTTAGTTAAAAAAAGGCAAAGACAACTCCATGATATGGCCTTTTTATGATTATGGATAATTCAGTCAGATGTGTCCAAACACTTGACTGCCACTGTAGGTTTATTTATAAACCCATCATTTTACGAAGAACTAAATGTTCCACTTCTTATGAAAATGTATCCCATAAAGGGTCATGTGACCAGATGCTCTCCTGTTTGATCATTCTTTCCCCTTTGGCCAACTGCCCTTGCAGTGAGGCACAAGATGAAGTCCGACAAACCTACAAGGACAACTAGAGCGACACCTGTCCCGTCGCAAGTGTTTCGCACTGGACACGCACACACAGACAAAACAACATGTACTCCTACTGAACTACACAATGAGACGGGGAAACATGAGGAGGGGAGGTGGGCTAAACCTACAGCACCCAGGCCTAGTGAACGAGTGACGAAAGGTTTAGGGGTTTGTTTTTAGAACTAGGAGGTTAATAAGATGTGGTTATGAGAGGGAGGGGAGGGGTAGAAACAGACCAAACTAAAACTAAAAAGAGGATGAGAGACAGATAGGGATAGGCTTACCATCTGTGTGTTGGTGGCCATTAGCTGAGGAAAGGAAGAGAAGCAATAAACAAAAAAAGGGAAAAAAGGCAAAAATAGAAAGGAAGACGAGAGGAAAGGCAGAAGTAGAAGAATAGAGGAAGGAGAAAAAGGAGAAGAAACAGAAAGAGAGAGAAATAAATAAACAAATCAACCGGAGAAGAGGGGGTGGGGGGGGGGAGAAAGGGGCAGGGCAAGAAAGTAAAGAAAAAATTAGGATGTTATAAAACTTAAAAAATCAAACCAAAACAGGCAAAAAAGCAATCCAAAAAGATTAATATGATTTGAACTGAATGGCACAGAGAAAGATGTCTGATTACCCAGCATGCTTTGTGTCGTATACATGAACACGGAGAAGCACCCGTAATGGTTATAGAAACGTGCAAAAAAAGGAGGACAGACGAAGAAGTCTGCGAAGCTAGCTCACGTCCTTCACTTTACCACAGATAAAAACAGTAACAAACGAGGGAACCATTACAACCAGCGCTTCAACCGACCAATCACACGCCACACAGTCATCCACCAAGTCTCGCACACCCACTCATGCTAAATTTCTCCATGGAGGAAAGAAAACAAGAAGACCGTGATTTGTTGAATCAAAACACGTATGAAACAAAAAATGGTGCATGACTTGGTGGTGATGAGGTCGTTACCTGTCCATTGCTGGTGAAGGTGGTATTGTCGAACAGGAAGAATGCGCCGAAAAAGAAGACCACTGCATCAAAGACCCCCAGAAACGTCCAATAAACAAAGATCGGCCATTGCAATAGTGAATTCTTCGCAATATCTCTGTGGAGATGCAAAAAACAAAACGTTACCAAAAATGAACTTGTAAGACAGCCTGTATAGCCCTGTTTCTTTCAGAATTCTACTGTTTAATACCTTTTATATAGTCAAAGTGTGAACACTAATCAACATGCTTTGTTGATTTTTTTGGTGAAAAAAGGATCCTGTACACATCTTCTACAGGGAACCTAATTATGGCATTTTCCTGCACATCTTATTGCACATTTTTCTATTTATTTGCCGAGTTTAATATTGAAAAAACATATATAAAAATGTGCCATATATCTGTCACAGGCAACATTTTATGTTTTATTTTTTCCCTAATATGTCAAGCTCAGCAGATAAACAGTAATTGCTCATTAAAATGTGCAGAGATTTGTTCTCCTATTTTTCACCTAGAAACACATCATTTGACCAGGGGCTCCCAAACTTTTGCTTACAGCTGCAAATCACACAAAGTGTTGTTGCTGGAGTTTTTACATGTCAGCGTCATTGTTAGATGAAGAGTAGCCCAACATCCAAAACTATCTGGCACTGATAAAGAGCTAGAGGATGGCTAACATAAACTGTATATGACAACAGATGGGCTACAAAAACAAGGTCGACCTGCAAGGTAGGTGTTTTTTCTTATAAAGTGGCCAGTGAGCATGTACAGTGCATATACTTCATTAATATGTATGTGTCACATATGTGTCTTATTACAAATTCTTCACTGATTAAACTGTTTAATAAGCTTTACTCTCTACTTTTAACCACAATGTTGAAAGGTCCTCAATTTTCCTGATTAAAAACCCCTTCCTGGCCCAAGCTAAACTCCTACACAGTATACTACCACAAACACTCTAACATACAGCTAAAAGGTGGAAGCCTTTGGGATTCTTGAGAGCATGGCTATAGATTGATTAAGCACTTAAGAAAGCAGTATAGCTACAGTGCAATGATCCAGACAAGGCCAAAAGCCAGCCTTGTTTTTTCCTCCTCCATGTAAGAGAGACAGTTTGTTTGCAATTACGCCCACGAGCGAGAGGAAAATAGCGAATCGATCACCAGAATAAAGCAAAGGGCTGAACAAACAAAGCCTTCACTGCAAGATTAATAATATGGGCCAGTGTCTCAGACGGGTCTGGGCTCTAAACACAATAATGAGCAAGAATGAATAAAGTTTGAATTGACTAAACAGAGAAAAGAGTAAAACATAGAGTTTAAAGGGCCCATAACAAGGAAAAACAAACGATTTACAGTGCAGCTCCACTTTCAACATCACTGAAAGCCCATTTTAGATGAAGTGATAAGAGGTGTTGTTACTGTAGACCATGTGTGGAGTGGCTGAAGTTTATTGATCACGATGTCCCTGAAGATTTCAGTTCAAACTTAACAGTTTGTGCCTGGACTGCTTTCTGATCAAATCATTTAAGTCAGCCAATCAGAAGAGAGCTCGTTTATATATTGTTGCTGTCCATAGAGAAACATGTATCTCCAAATAGTAACTTTACAGGAGAAGGCTTTTAATGCAAGTTAATGTAAAGATGTTTTATTTCAAGTGATTTCAGAGCATTTCTATTGATACAATCATCATAAATTTTTTACACTGTTGTTACAAGAGGACTTAAGTAATGAAATATAATAAGAAGTAGCATAAATGCCCTTTAAACAGAGCTCTTAAGCTCCAGGTGTTTGAGGTATGTGGGCATATGTTAGCATGTTCCTCTCTATTTGCTGTTTTATATGTTTATTTATGTTATCTGACCAGGTCAGTGGACGGTGTGCTATCTAAATCATTCATATATGCCTATAAGCAAAACTGCATTTCCATGACAATTCAAAGGCTCCTGAGACAGGAAGACATCAGCACCACGACAGTGCTAACAAGATCAGCTACTGCCTGCTGCTTGAATCATCCTCAGCTTCTAGTCAAAGCAGAAACAACAAAATGGTGCTGAAAAGATACAGAATGTCTTTATATTTTTTAATAAGGGAAAAACAAATTTTTATATCAGCATTTTAAAACTTGCAATTCTAGCATATCCGTTTATTGTGACTGAAAATAAACAAAGTCCTTGTTGAAAATTGGGCTATTTAACGACTGCACAACCATTTGTAAGGGTTTCATAAACAGAATTTAATATGTAGTGAGATGGAGGAGGGATAAGGAGCAATAAAAGCTTTTATTAGCAGCCCTGCTGTTATCACTGTTCAAGCCTTGGAGAGCCAAGAAACACTCTTCCATCTGTTCCCTCTCCGTTTAGTGGTCCGCTCTGACCCATTTTGAGGTGTGACTGTGTGCGTACGTATGCGCAGTGTGTGTACGAGTCAGTGACAGTCATCTCGAAACGAGGATATGGTGGGTATAAATAGCCCGCATGTAGACAAGGATTTATACACAGCTCATAGAGAGAAGGCCAAAGATAGAAGCTAGCAAGCCACAAAATACCAAAGTCATCCACGTGCAAAGGTATGTCACTTTCCTTTGTTGCCTAACCCACATAAACAGGATCTAATACAACACAACCTGACTTAATACATACATGCATATTCAGGTTTAAAGGGTTACAGCTCTCTAAATGGTTAACGTGGCTAATTAAGCCAGAACACTGGTGGAAATAAGTTAGCATGATCTAATCTGCAATGCTAATCGCATTAAAAATTATGCATATGTTTAAAAGCTTTTATCAAATTCAAATCCTAAGACTACTCTAACCTTAACCTGAAAAATTAAATCCACACAAAATGTAACTTTAGCCCAAAGATAATCGGCCACAAAATGTTTGGTTATTTAGTTTATGTAGCTAATAAGTAGTTGAAATGTATGTAGACCAAAGCATTGTATAAACTGCATTCTTTAATCATCACACACTTGCCTCAAACTGTGTTGAGCTGTTCAGTAATCTCAGACTTACTTATATGGGTTCTGACACTGTATGGCATAATATTCTCTATAAAATTGGACGAGTATGAAGCACCATTAAAAAGAACAGTAGGAGCTGTTGAATTCTTGAAGAAGAATTCTGTCTATGTTTATAGATAACAGTATGTCCTACAAAGTCAGAAACCACATAAGTCAGTATATTTGAAATCACTGAACAACTTGACACACTTTTAGGCAAGTGTGTGACGTTTTAGGCATGTTAAGACACAAGCACGGCTTATATTTTCCTCTATCTAATGTGAAAACATGACTAAAAACCCTTGTTCTGTGAAAGGAATACTGCTTTTTTGTTTACTTTGTTTTCTGTCATTAAAGAGAGTATGTTTTTTTAGCATTACTGCAAAAACTGAAGAGTGCAGGATGCTTGTGAGATGAAGCAAACCTCAGACACCAATCATGTCTTGTTTGATTAACTACATTTGGAAAGGAGAAAAATGTGTAAATTACATTTTTTTACTATTAATTTAAATGTTCACTGCACACAGGCAAGTGGGAAGGAGGTTAGTGCAATCTGGTCTTGGCATACGGTGGACACATGTAGACTCACCTATATAGAGTGGGGTCCCGTTTTAGGATGTCCATGTTGATGTGCTGCTCAATAAGACTATAGAGCAGGATGGGCAAGGAGGTGAAGCTGATATTGTACAGAGTGAGATATGCTGTGTCGTACAGTGGCTGCAGGAGGACAAAGCATAAGATAACTGTACATTTGACAGGAGACTAAAAAAAAGATCCCCAGTAGAATATGCAAACTGCACAGCGGTAACACAATATGCCTTTCAAACATTTAGAAACGTTTGGTGGGGCTGAACGCTTACCTGCTGGGAGAAGCCACAGAAGAACTGATAAAGGAACTGAGGAAAGATGAAACACACATTCTAGAGGGGAGAGAGAGAGAGAAGGGGGGGAGAGAGAAACACTTACAGATCTTCACTAGCTGCAGTCCCAAGTGAACAAAACACCTCACAGTATGAAGTGTGAACTCAGAGGCTATAAATAGCATCAAGATAGCTTGGTGGCACAGCTACAGTTTCTTAAAAAAGCTCAGGCAACACTTTTTGCAATGAAAAACATACACTTAGCTACAAAGCTATGTTATGATAATGCTTTTCTTGTTATGATTATGCAGTTTTGAACTGACAGAATTATTTTTCTATTTCATGTGCAGATTATGTGCAAAGAAATCAATTTATTTATACTTAACCTCAATTTCAAAAAAGTTGGGACAGTATGTGAAATGCAAATAAAAACGTGATCTAATTTGACCTGTGTTTAAATGAATAAAACAATCAATAAACACCATTTTTGCTGCATTCATAAGTGCAAGTTTAGACTACACTATGCACAGCAGAGGCCTTATGTCAACAATGTTCAGAAACGCTGCCAACTTCTCTGGGCTCAAGCTCATCTGAAATGGACTGATGTACAGTAGAACCGTGTACTGTGGTCCTGATGAGTCAATCTTTCAGATTGTTTATGGAAATAATGGACGTCATGTTCTCTGAGCCAATGAAAAATATGACCATCCAGATTGTTACCAGTGTAAATATTAAAAGCCAGCCATGTCATGGTATGCAGGGTATTAGTATTAACAAGGCACCATCAACAATAAAAGATATAGACATATTTTGGAACAACATATGCTGCCTTTTAGATGATTGGCTGGCTCATTATGACGAGCAAAATATGACAGTGAAGGCCCCATATAGCTAAAGAAAACTCTTTCAAAACTACATCAAGGGAAAAAGTTCATAAGTTCATGATAAAACTTTACATTGTTTTGTAGTGTTTTCAATTAAGGTCAAGAAGAATTTACGAACCAATGCCAATTCTTGCTTTTATTAGCACTTCACATACTCCCAACTTTTACGGGATCTGTACAATAATCACACGTTACCATGTATTGTCTTACACAGATTACTTTTACTATTACTTCTAGCATTTAGCAGTACAGTAAAAGCATACCTTGTAGAAGAAGTATTGCACCAGCTCAGATATTCTGATATAGTAGTAGTGTCCGTGCACCAGAAGCATCTTTTTCAGGTGTTTGAACTTTGGGATTGCATAGTCGCTGTTACGAGCTGCCTGACGCCCCTCCTTACCCATGATGCCTAAGGACAGAATGAGCAGGCAACATTTTGGAAGCCAATTCAAGTGGGAAGATTCAAAGCGTAGGGAAGTGATTCACACAAATGAGGTAAGGCGGTATAGAGAAAATACCAAAAGAAAGAAAGAAAAATCTTGAGTCAAATGATATTAATGCATGTTTGGGTCATATTGTATTGCTTGTGTGACAATATATTAGCTAATACAGGAAGCAATGACACTTATTTATGAGGCAACAGCGTTTTCACCCTTAGAAGTTGTGACAATAACAAAACATTGTGTAATTTTATATTAATTAATTCTTATTTAATTCTTTATTATATAAATATCTATCTATTTATCTATCTTTATTATATAAATATTTGATGTTCTCACCTGGTATTAATCTCAAGTGATCTGATCTCAATTGAGCAGTACATTGTATATACACATTATACATGCAAAAATATCAATGCTATATTGTCATTAATACCACCTTTATTAGAGAAATGAAAAAGTATTTTCCCATCAGCTCTTTTTCTTTTCAAAAACGTTATACACACATTCATACACACTGACCAGCCACTTTATGAGGTACACCACCTTGTTTCTACATTCACTGTCCATTTTATCAGCTCCACTTATAGGAGTTGATAAACCATATAAACCTGCCCCACCATATAGGAGCACTTTGTAGTTCTACAATTACAGACTGCAGTCCACCTGTTTCTCTGCATACTTTGTTAGGCCCCTTTTATCCTGTTCTTCAATGGTCAGGACCCCCACAGGACCACTACAGAGCAAGTACTATTTGGGTGGTGGATCATTATCAGAACTGCAGTGACACTGACGTGGGGGTGTGTTAGTGTGTGTTGGGCTGGCACGAGTGGATCAGACACAGCAGTGCTGCTGGAGTTTTTAAACACCTCAGTGTCACTGCTGGACTGAGAATAGTCCACAACCAAAAATATTAGCCAACAGTGTCCTGTGACTGCTGATAAAGCCAATATATACTAGAGGAAGGGCATCACATACATTTACATCAGTCTCTTGCTCTGTTTGATATCAGTCAAAAATAAATTAACTATGTATTTCTGTAATTACATTTAAATGATATAACAAAACCACAATAATAACTCTAGCAATGACGATGATTCACACTTTATTTTGCCAAAAAAAATGGATCTATAAAATGATTTGGTACAGTTAAGCAGTCAAGGAGGATTAGACTGACCAGCATGATCAAAATACACTGAGCGATGCCAAGAGATCCTCTCTGCAGTTAAGACAGCATAGGTGATTTGTGAGTAAATCTTATCTCGTGCAGCCGCTGGAAACAGTCGAACCATGTGCTTACCTATGCCCACGTGAGCTTCCAGAATCATGCTGACGTCGTTGGCCCCGTCCCCGATGGCCAGAGTGATGGGGTGCTCTTTGGAGGCCTTGATCAGCTTAACAATCTGTTAAAAGAAAAAAAAATCAATTCTAGCCACGAAAACAGGGGTGAGATTAAAGGGACAGTTCACTCAAAAATGCTAACATGGCAAACAATGAATAAAACCTCTCTTAGCACTTATTGTTAGCAATATATGCAAGTTTTAACAATCAGTCACAGTGGTAGCTGTGGTGGACAGCAGAAGTGTTTTCATTTCTTAGAAAAACAGACAAGCCAGTACATTAGAGCTGTTACTATTGATTATACTTGTAATGAAGTCAGCTATTAAGTAATTTTTAAAAACAAAATGGCCAAACAATAAAAATGAAATGTGCTCGTTTTTGTCTAGCCCAATATAAAATTCTTATTGCAACTATGTAAATGCACAAACAGCTGTGCTGTCCCTCAGATGTACAGAATACCAGTACATGACAACCCAAACAAGCACAAATAACCGGTCAGTTCAAGTGTAAATGGAAAGAAAGCAGGATCTCATGGCAGGAATAAAAATGGGCCAAAGAGAAAGAGAGACAGAAGAGAGAGAGAGAAAGTGAGAGAGAGTGAGAGAGAGCAAGAGAGGGAGTGAGAGAGAGAAAAAGAGAGAGCGAGAGAGAGAGAAAGATAAAGAAGCAGAAAGGAAGAGAAACAGACAGATACAGTAAAAGGGAAAAGAAGAGGAGCTGTAATTGGTCTGGGGTCAGACTGCCTCGATCCAGTCAGAAATTATAAAACAAGTGAGCAGCACGAATAAAACCATCATTTCAGAGCTTCATGAAATAAAAGCCTGAATGCAGTTCAGCCAAGACATATTTGGTAGAAAATTATAGACAAAATCCATGTCAAACAGTATCGGAAAACACATTAGCAAGTCTGTTTGAGATTACTTGACAACACAGTTGGCAAATGTGTAATGATTTAGGTATGCAGTTTGCAAAATGCTAACTGGTGGCTGTAAGCTTCCATTACTTGTTAGCTACATTAGCCTCATAGCTCCAGTGCAAAACTAAATTCTTTTAAATATCACAAAGTCAGCATCGTATAAAGAGAGGCACAGCACCTAAAATATATTCCTTAAGTAACCAAAAGTGATACTTTAGGATATGTGATAGAACGAGTTACCTGTGCCTTCTGAAGTGGCGCCATGCGACAGCAGAGCACAGCACTGCAGTTTCTGCAGATCTCCAGAAAGATCTCCTTGTAGTTTCCTCCAGTGCTGCTGCCCTCCTGCGCCGGCTTCATCACCGCGGACAGCGTCGCCCCATCAATAATCAGCCCATAGTCCTGAAAATCACTGGATAGACTGTGTGGAGAGACACATGAGCATGTATAACAAGATTACACTGCACAGTTCCAGCACAATTCACAAACAAAATTGTCCATATCATGACTAAACCAGGCCTAAATTTTATATTCTTCAGTTTTCTATGCAAAGGTTCGAACACCCCCAGTCAAATTGCATATTTTGTTAATTTTCTAACATCATCTACAGAGGACACAGTGCACATTTGAATTATTTGCTGAGTTTAACATACTGGAAATGAGCACGAGCTGTATTTTACTTTGTGAGCTGGGTGATAATTAATTTTTCACATCATTTATCAGTTCAACTTTTTAACATTTTTTTATTTTTTTTACTGCTGTTGAACGTTTAAATGCAGCTGTACTGGTAACTTGACTGAAAGGAAAATTGAAATGGAAAATGTATTTTGGATAGGCTCCAGTCTATTTCTCCCTCTCTGCCAACAGCCGATCAGAGCAAGCCTTTTTACAGTACACAATTTGACTTAGCTCAGCAATATTAACTGTTGTTTATTTTCTTGTAATTATTGTCAAATTCATCATTTTATATCTAAGTAAATATTTAAGTGTTTTGCTAAAATATTTATTGCAATTGTTCTTTTTCCCATTTCATCCAGCTGTAGCATCCACTCACCCAGAGAAGGTGTCTCGGGTCATGCTGCCATGCTGTCGGAGCACGGTCCTGCTCAGGTCGAACAGGACGTCGTGCAGGCTCTGCTCCTCTGTGCGCTTAGTGGTTAGCTCCAGGATTTGCGTGTTGCGGCGGAAAAGCTTGCTAGCGTAGCAGGTGGCTGCTGCTGTCTCCATTTTGTCCCCTGTCAGGACCCACACCTTCATCCCAGCCTTGTGCAGAGACTCAATGGTGTCTGCTGCTTTGTCCTGCAGCCTGAGCCAATGAGAGAAGACCATCAGCTTATATTCAGCTGGTTTCTATTAGCGAATGATCAACGTAAGTGCAGTAAGTCAATCAAGGTTTTTAGCCATACTTGTAGTGCAAAACACAGAGTGGAAAATTTGGATCTAAAGCTGAACAATATCCTCACGCCATAGTCATGAATTTTTTCCATTATATGTATATTTTTATTAATTTTTATAGATGATATTGGGTCACATAATGTTAGAAATCACATAAGCAAGTCTATTTGAGATTACTGAACAACTCAGCAAGTGTGTTTGCACAGTGCTAGCTGGTAGCATTATAAGCTTGCATTACTTAGTCAAATGAACCTCATAGCTGCAATCCAAAAAAAGAAGAAGCAAATTTAGACACTAAATGTGCCTTGGCTGATCGACCTCATCTGGGTGAAAATTTGTTGGATTCATGCTATACAACAAGTGGTCAAATGTCAAGATTAGAGCACATCAGCTTATACAACCCATTTTCTGTATATGTATCTACAGTTATATGGTGAAAAGAGTAGCAATTTACAAACTATTTCAACCAAATGAACAACACCAACACCGCCATTCTAACCAGTGCCCATTTCACTGTTAGCCCTGTCAGCATTTTTGGGCGAGGCCCTCCTTTAATGGCTAGTGCTATGGTGGTGTCACAGGCTAGCACACTCTGTAATTAAGCTGCACAGCAGTGAGGATTCACAGCCCTGCACCACTGCCAGACAATTACTGCACATTCCCCCCACTGCGCACCGCCTGCAGCACAGCGACCCAAACGCAGCCACACTGAGAGAGAAGAGCTGCCAGTTCATTCTGCTACAGCCTCAAAAATTCCATTTATTCTATTTCACCCTCATACCTCTGACCAAAGCTGTGTGAATTCTTAACCCTTTATTTGTCTTCCATGCCCTTGATCAGACCTCACAGTGAATTTAGACACAGCATTCTTTAAAGGGGAAATGGTGGTATAATAACACCACCTGTTCCTAATGTACCACACTTGACAAAGCTTGCTGGTTTGTTTGGGGTATTTTTGTTTACTTGCCTGTCTTACGATGTCAATTCAATGCACAGTGTTAGTAAACTTGTAGAAAAATTCAGCTCTGTGATGACCTTGTAGTCCAGAAAATACACTGACATTCAATGAAAAAATGTATTTAGGATAAAACGTATTGAGTTTTGCGCCATTTTCTTAACCACCAGGCATGATAGCAGCAATTTTAGAAAATCCCATTCATTTCTACCATCGAGAAATCTAGCTTAGATACAGAGTTTCTAAAATGGGCATGATGCAGACAAAATGATGACGACTTTAGTGGTCTGTAGTTAAATCAGTGGCACAATCTTGCCTAAACTACTACAGGTAAAGAACTCATTTCAAAAATAGTTAAAAAATACTTTCTTAATTCCTAACCAGCATTTACTTACTAACTGGCAGTTCTGTTTTTGCTGCTTTTCCTGTTATAATGAACTGGTATTGAGAATCACCAAATTTCACAGGCACTGGAATCAAAATTGTAACAGTGTCTATTTGACATATTATTTGAGATCACGTAACAATTCAATGTGATTCAATATAAGCGTGTGGTGATTTAAGGGAACAGTTTACACAGTTCTAATTGCTATCCACTTCCATTAGTGAGCACCATTAGCCTTTAGCTCCAGTTTAAAACTAAAGATGCAAACCAAACATTTCTTGGCTGGTCGACTACATTTGTTTTTAAATTTGACTTTTTGTCAAAAATCTCCCTGAATCCCCAATTCCCAAACATTTTGGATTTTCTAAGGTATCATATCTACTCTTGTAAAGCATCATATCTGCACTGCACAGCTAACAAACTCATAAGCATTCATTACTTGACAAGCACTATAAGCTTTTACGAGTTCCTTTCTGCATATACCGAGCTGCTTCTCAATATCACAAACTGAACTCCACAGCAGCAGAAACCATTTGTGTGCCTCGCGATCTCTAAATGAGGTCCGTCTACTGACTGATAACTTCATATATGATGTCTGGCTTGACAGACTACTAAGAGCATTAGGCTATATCACCACTTTGTCAGGGGCACTGCCCGGCCCGGGCCACCAATCGATTCCAGAGGGGCTCTAATTACTTTAGCCCCTCGTTAAATGCTGACAGCAGAGCCTAACGGATGGACTCTATTGACTGGCTGTGTAATTAACGTGAACATCCGACTCTGCGTCAGTGTTTATAGAGCTCACGTGTACCCATATCCGACACGGGACTTGACAGCACTCCACAATGATGTAAACATGAGTGAAGGTGTCAATGGAAGTCAATTGATGGTCTGCCCCCTACTGATAATGTGAACAATAATAGCTCGTATGTCATTCTTTGACCTTTGCAAGAAGGTCCAAACTGACTGGTTATGGAAGTCTTTTCTTAACAAAGATTCAGATTCAGTTAAACAAAAAATGACTAATGTAATCTGATTCATTTTGATGTCCCCTACTTCCATTTCTTTCTCTCACTGACTTTTCTCCCAGCCTCCTGAACTTTGTGTCTGCATCATACATGTGTAGTATGAGTGCTCACTTGCTGAAGGAAGTGTGTAGTATGGCAAGTTTAAAAATGGAACAGACATAAACATGGAGTCCAAACAAATTGTTGCCCAAGATGTTTGTACGCTAGGTAGCTATCTTAACTAAACTTGACTAGGCTGAATAGCGGAAGGTAAGCTAGCATTAGTTAAATGTTAGCTAACATCTGCTTTAGTTTCAAAAGTTTACCGAATTTGTAATCAGCATGCAGAGACGATAAAAATGATCACACATGGACATCTAACGCCAACTTAGGTTGTATATCTTGTGAGGTCGATGAGTGTAGCACAAGGAGAAACTACACACATCTTAAAAAAAGGGGTTCTTTGAAGAGATGCCACAGTAGAACCACTTTTGACTTTCTATAGATCCTTTCAATGGATGTTCTTTTTTAAACATTTTATTGAAACCACTTGAAAGTTTCTCCAGGGAACCAAAAATGTTCCTCTGGGTTTTCAAATTCATACCATCCATCCATCCATCCATCATCTAAACCGCTTATCCTTCTGGGTTGCGGTGGGGTGCTGGAGCCTATCCCAGCTGTCATTGGGCGGAAGGCAGGATACACCCTGGACAGGTCGCCAGTCCATCGCAGGGCAGACAGACAGACATACACATTCACACCTAGGGGCAATTCAGCATGTCCAATTGGCCTGACTGCATGTTTTTGGACTGTGGGAGGAAACCGGAGTACCCGGAGGAAACCCACGCAGACACGGGGAGAACATGCAAACTCCACACAGAAATGACCCTGGTCACCCGGCCGGGAATCGAACCCAGGCCATTCTTACTGTGAGGCGACAGCGCTACCCACTGCGCCACCGTGCCGCCCTCAAATTCATACCTTGAATCCAAATTCTGGTCCTGTGTTTTGTAATCACTGGTAGTTAACTGAACTGTTTATGTAACAGATTGGCTACCTAATATCATAATTATTGGATTCAAGGTCCAGATTTGAAGACCTCTGTTGTATAGCATCGCTCCAGAGAATCCTTTTTGGTAGGCTCACGGGAGAGGTCATAACAAGAATGTCTAAAGACAGGCATGAGCAATTTTGGGGTACGTGTTATCAGTGTTTAAAAGTTTCTAAACCAATCAAACGCTTCATGAAGGTGGTGCTAAAAGTAGGGGGTGAAGGTGCACTCGTCAACATTGGCTGATGGACAACAAGCCTGTTATTAGTCCATGGATGTAATGCAAATTACCCTGACTGAGAACTACCTTTAAAAACTCCAATAAAAAATTAACAATATATATTGCAAGGAAAAACAGTTCACTTAGCCAACAACAGCATTTCGCTAGCTAGCCTGTGTTGCATGCGTTGTTGATCATATTCTGGACATAATCCAGCACTGAAAGTTTAACAAGTTGATCCTAGACATGTGTTCTCATTATGACATCACGTCTGACACAAGGCTACCTTTTTGGTGCCTTCATTTTAAAGAGCATATGGCACTGACTGTACACAGTTTTGTACTTTTGTAATCAGTCATCTTGGAACAGAAAACCCCTAATGTAGGACAACTCAATCAGCACTTCACTGAAGCGGATTCAGAATCAGTCTGATTAGTTTTGATTCCAATTCTGATTGTGAGTTTTTGAGTCATGAGTCACCTGTCCTCAACGGCCGTGGCTCCGAGCAGGATGAAATCTCTCTCAATGACGTCGTAAGCCTCGGCCAGCTTCTTGTCTCGGTCCTGCAAAGCCAGCTTAGCGCTGCTGAGAAGATGACACACTTGCTCGTACTCCTCCCGACTCAGCTTTTTATAGGCCACGCAAAGTGTCCGTAAACCCTCCTAATGTGGAGACGAGACAAGAAAGTTAGTCGCAGGTCTTGTACTGTCAATCATCGCTAATACACAAGCGTAAAGTTAGAATCAAAGCTTCGTAGTGAGTACTGGGTTCATTTGTTCATTGAATTTAGTCTTTCTGTTCAGTCCTTATCTTTCCACCATGACAGTTAATTGCTAGGGACTTTCTTTTGCATATTCACTTCAGTTCTTCAAATCACATTTCCCCAGGATCTGTTTACCTTTATGACTGAGAAGGCCCCATTTAGCCTATTCAGTAGCTCAGTGTAGTTTACATTAGCATGCTAGTTAATTCTGTAGTATCTGGCCCCCTATCCCAGAAAAACACTTTCGCTATGGTAACCCCATGTGCTGGTCAGCGCCGCTGCTAACAGCAACTAAGCCTGCTTCAAAATTATGTCATTCTTTGCCAGCGGGCTCTGGCAATAGTCCCGGCCCAAATCTGTCCCAGAATGGGGAGAGAGAGAAAGAGGGGGTCAATATCCCAACACTGCTTTCAATGTTTTCACATGTGAATATGTGGGTGAATCCTGCCTACACAGTCCATATACTGTACCTGGGCCAACAATGACAAAAAGGAGTGCTGTCCTGAGATCAGGTTTCCAGACTGTTTACAGTGATTCCAGACTGTTTATAGTGATTCCAGACTGCATCTGACTATACTTACATTTGAGTTAATAAAGTTAAAGCTGCACTAAGTAAGATTTTTCATGAAAACTGAAAGAAGTAGCATCACTGAATGTGGAGGGGGAAAAACCTAAACCTATGCTAAAATATGGTGTGCATATGCAACTGTGTGTCACCCTGTAAACCCTGAAATAATTATTTAAAAGTCAGAGGTGTCGGGTCAAGGTTTCGGGGGAGTGTTTAGGACCACGTCGTACGTCTTTATGTATTAAAGTGACATGCACAGACTCAAAAAAAGGTCCAGCCACTCTATGTTAAAAGAATGTCTTATAATCCTGACAATGTTGAGCTGGGGGCTTAAAAGCTGGTTTTGTGGGTATTCTTCTCCCAGAATAAAAACAATGAGTTTTTACTTATTTTTAACCATCTGTTCAAAACAATCTGAGGACCCTGAGCGAATGACATACACTGCAGTTAACTGTCAGTTCCTGGGTAGAATGTACAAAGTACAATAAATAGAATTTAAAAAACTACAAAACACTGCACAGCAGCAATAAGACATCTATTTCTTATAGAGTAGCATGTTATCATGAATGTAATGCTTTTTATCAACACTACAGAGAATCAACATTGCTATGTGGCAACAATACTGGCATAGATCAAACATCACCCAGCTCTAAGCTGAGTTAACTATTCCTCCTCTGAGATTCTTTGTGAAATACAGGCTAATATCTTTTGACAACGATATGACGTATTATCAAATATATACAATACATTGCAAACTATAGAAACTCGTAATCAGCCTTTTTTTGAAAGATGTAAGGATAATATTACCAAAAAATAAAAATACCTTCAACACCTGCAAAAACCTAAAAATATGTCCATGCTAGAGCTTTCCTTTGTAGAACTAAGCCTGCACTTTCCCCTTGTGTGCCTAAGTACATCCCAAAACGCCCCCAATAAGCAAAAACTACAACACAAAAACACACCGCTGCAAGGATCCGGAAGGTTCTTTGGGAAAAATGATAAAAGAGGAACTCAAATGTGTGTGCGTTTTTTTTTTTTTGCTCACCACAGCGTTGTGCTCTACTCGCGCCCGAACCTGGTCCACTTTTCCCGAGATGACCCGCGGGAAAATGGAAGAGTCAGCACCTTTACAGAACAGGTACAACTCCCCTGAGATCAGCAGAGAACAAAGAAAAATACAAACAATTAGCAACAAACAAGCAACAGAGCTAAATGCCAACAGTGAAGTACAAACAAGCAAGAGAGCAGAATTAGCAGGTCACTCACCTCATTTACTGATATAAAATGATTGCTACTATCAGTTTATTCACCCTAATAAATCAATTAACTCATTCTTTATCTAAATAATTATGTCTGTATTGAATGTATTGTATTGTTTGTTTTTTTTTTCTCTTGTACGTCAGTATGATGTAGGTCATATTAGCATGCTCACCACACACTGACCCACTTCAATGAAGGTGGCTGGCCTATTTGTTAGAATACAGGGGTAACAGAGAGAGTTCACTGGTAATGCCAAACAGTCTGTAGCATTTGTCCTACAAAAGTATTAGTTGTTTTAAATGTTGTATGTTAAAGCAATAAGCCACAAGAGGCCACTGTACTATTAGTTGTAATAACTCTACTATATATATATATATATATATATATATATATATATATGTGTGTGTGTGTGTGTGTGTGTGTGTGTGATAAAGTACATGCAGGGAGCCATAATGCAAAACAGTCTCTGAAGAAAACATATTTTATCATTTTCGACATCACATATTAAAACTCAGAAGACAAGTGTAGTTTTACTGCTCAATTTGGATAATAAATAAAGACAGTCAGACACCTTAAGACCTGGTTCCTATCACCACCACTGTAAAGAAAGATGCTTTACAATATACCATTTCACATTAAACCAGTGGGTTCTCAAACTAGTCCATGTCTGCTCTGGCCCCTATGTGGGCCCCTGAGAACCAGTTTGAGAACCACTGTGTTAAACAACTCTGAATGACTTAGTTTACATCTCAATCACTGAATTGTAGAGAAATATCTGTGAAATTTCCCTTAAATACAGAATTCAGGTGATGTGTGCGGTTAAATGAGTGTATATGGATATTTTATAATGTGTTTCGAATGTGGCTCAGCCAAACATTTTAAAATGGGCACTCTTTGTTTTATAATACAGGACAGTGTAGTGTAGTGGGTTATGTTTTCAGCAAGTCTAAGCACTCTTACCAGAGTTGGACCTGACTATGACACTCATTCTCCTTCGCACAGAATCAAAGTTCAACACCTCCAGCAACTCAAACCTGGAAACACACACACAGAGTGAGAAAAGTAAGAAAAATAAGTATCTGTACTGGGGGGGTGAAACGATACATGAAATTCAATATACAGTGGTGTCTCAATACAATACATTTTTCAATACAGCAAAAAGTGTCTAAAAGTCTGCCTTGTGTTCATATGTTAAATATTATTTTCTCTCTCTAATGTCTATTTATATGATGGCCATGCTGTTCTTGTTACTATGCCTTTAAGACTGACATATGTAAATGACCTCTGTTCTGATTGGCTGCACTAAACAGTGCCTCTTTCAAATAGCGGCTCAGGCTGAAACACTCCTTATAACTTCAGTGTGAGTGGGCAGAGCTAAATTGTAGGAAGAATAGGTGGATATATATATATATATAACTGTGAAGGTTTTTGTGACATCACAAAAATAGTGACTTCAAAATTGGTTTGCTTCACAGCTTAATTTTTCATATATGGACTGTGTGGACTGAGGAGTGAATGGTGCTTTTACAAACTTTAAAAATATTTACACACAGCATCTAACTCTTTTATTGTAAATAAGTGAGGATAATTACTTTTTTCCATGATATGGTTCTGGGGTCAAGATTCATTTTGATTTTCAAAATCTCAATGAGATGTGAAAATTATTCTATGGAGCTCTAATTCTAGGCAATACGGATCGGTTCAGTTTAGATAAATATAAAGATTTTCAACAGAACTTTTTCAGTACCTCTTTCACCACCCACTAACAAAGTAAACCCCCAAAATCACAACCCAAGAATTCATAATTGACTCATAAAAAGTCCAGACATGCAGTGTGGGTGCATGCATAAAATAAGCCCCTCCCCTTCTCAGCCACTTTATTCTGATAGGATGCACTCAGATGCCTAGTGTTGATCACGGACAGTGGTTTCCACAAAAGCTTTTTTGTTTTATTTTATTGAGCAGACGCAGACAGCTGAACTGTGCCAGTGTGATTCTACCTCTCTGAGCTAAAGAACAGGAGTAACCTACAAGGTCTCTCACACGCAGACATACACACGGTCAGGAACAGGTGGTGTAGTCGAGGAAAAAATGTCCCTCTGAGATATTTTTGAACTGTGATAGAAACACTGGCTCTGTGTGTGTGTGTGTGTGTGTGTGTGTGTGTGTGTATGACCCCTCATCCACTCATCTGTAGGGCATCATGTTGCTGAGATAATTACAAGCTTCAGACACACACTCTGTCCTCCAGGTGGGGAACCAAGGACACACACATTTCCACACACTCCTGCATGTTTACATAGACAACACACACACACCCACCACACACACACACACACACACACACACACACACACACACACACACACACAAACAAACACACCTGTTTATAGCTCCTAGTTAACCCTCAGTAATTAGCAGTATGTCTAGACAGCTTTATTGCTCATGCTTCTATATCCATCATATGCAGTCATACCACAACACTATTACAACACCAGTACACAGTTTACAGAACAGGAGGACTGATTACTCTCTCACTGTATACAGTACAGTATACACTGTACAGTAAAGTCAGAAACAAACATTACACAAGTATATTAATGCAGCTGACAACACTTTGATAACACACAAGCACAGCCTTGTTGTACAAATTATTACAAATAATTGCAAGTTATTAGAGATGCACAATCAAACTCAGCCAAGATCAGAACTGGCAGCTTTTCGCTCAAAACCAAAATCATTAATTGGCCAATTTATTGTTTTTACTTTGCCAGATCTGCTGCTACACCTGTATCAAAATGTCATAGCTTGATTGGGCTAAATAGCCAGTTGCCTCTTACCTTTAAAGTTATTTACATAGGTATCTGTTTTAAAATTGAAAAATGAAAAAATTCCAGTTTGGCCTATTAAAGAGCAAATGATGCCATTTTGTATTTCAAGTACGGCTAATGGAAAGGACTGGAAATGTGCAGATGTGTTTCATGTGTTCATATTATCCTACACAACGTGAGCTTTGGTGCTGAAAAAAAGGCTAATGAAAACAATAAATCGGAATCGGCCATAAAAATGAATGATCTGTGCATCTCTAGTGGTTATAAACTTCAGTACTCAAAGGGGTGATAGAGGACAAATCAAAGTGTCTGTAAATCTAATTTGTTATTATTCCAGTAGCTTCATGTCCAAAAAAGACAAAGTGCGTCTCTGGCATGATACCCAAGTCATTTGATAAGTAATGCATTTCATGCAGACTCACCTCTCGATCTCATCCTCTCTGTTCAGGATCTCCATGTGGCTGTCCTTCAGCCGCAGATAGGTGAATCCAAGCCTGGGAGACAGAGAGGGGGACAGAAACATCAAATAGTGTATAGAGTTTGAATGATATGCATCAGGTTACAGGTTCTCAACCCCCTCAGGAATGACAGAACAGGGAGAAAGGGTGTAGGGACCCAGGACTGTAACAGACAGAGAGTGGAATGCTGGTCTAAAGCTTAAAAATAAATAAATTAATGAATAAACCAAATGTACACATAGTTTTCCTTTTACCTCGAACACAGTCAATCATGTTTGGTATCTGAAGTTTGCATTTTTAGTTTAGCTATGAGACTAATGCAGCAAACAAGTACCGGAAGTTTATACCACATGGAATAGTTTAATAGTTGTGACTACAAAGACACACTCGTGAGCTCCTTCTGGTGAACTTTAGACGGCAACACTGCTCTGAATGAGTGATTTCCACAGTCATGCCCACAAGCTTTATATATTAAGAAATGAGTTTTTTTCTGTCGTTATATTGAAGTTACAGTGGAGTTCAGCTATAGACGCCTTTGGAAAACCATGCAGTACTATATTTCAGTTTTTTTTTCCCCACAATTTTCTCCCCAATTTAAAAATATCCAATTCCACCCACTAGTTAGGACTCCCCCAAATACACAATACCACCAGTACTAGGAGGGTAAAGGCTAGCACAGACATCTTCCTAGACAGACATACTCTGTGAAGTGAGTCACTGCATCTTTTCTAACTGCCGCTAATGCAACATAATCGGACAGCTGAACCACTTGGAGGACTCCCGGCCACGGATGGCTATAGCATCACCAGGGATAGAACTCGGACAGACGGTTGCGCCACGGTTTTCATTACTGAACTCACTTGAACCATTGGGACATTTAAGCTGTATAGAAAATGCTGCAAATTTTTGTCAGACGGTAAATCCCACTCTGGGAAACCTGCAGCAGATTCAGTGAAGAATTTATTTATTTTAAACGGCTTTTAAAGAGCCCACAATAACCCAATATTTTAACAATAAAATTCCCTTGCATTCCTCCACAAACTGAGTGCTGTACCTATTAACATCTGTACTCAAGGGGGTGATTGAGGTTAAATCAGAGTATCTGTAAATCTAAACTGATGCAATTCTGATAGCATCATGTCCAAAAGAGATGTGAAGTGTGTCTCTGGTCTAATACCAAAGTTGATTATAAATAATGCATTTCCAAGAACAATTCAAAAGGAATGGAAAGGGGGACTGACATTTTTGGACTGAGTCAGAATTTTGTGTACATATCTGTACATGCAAATGACATTTATTGCTCCTAACAGTATTAAAAAAAGAAAATAAATCCCATTCCTGTCAAAGACTAGAGTGCCCTGTGTGTCAATGTAGTGCTTTAGTCTTACATCACAGTGTCCTGTATGCATTATTTATGTAGGCTTGACTCTGTGAGTGCGTTTTCTCACCTCTTCATGCCCTCCACCAGCGCCACCTCGTCAGGAGAGGAGGAGATGTAGAAAGACGTGGCTTTACCCTGGTGAATCCCTCTCTTAATGCCATCCACCGTCTCCTCCTCCTTCACCTGCACTGTGTGACACAAACACAGCGCCCGGAAAAACAGCTCCTCATGCTCCTGAAAACACACACATACACACAGTTCAGGATCAGCACACAAATCAACATCATAACATGCACGATTCCGTTCAACATCACCAGAAACTGTCAAGATTTAATAATAATATAAATATAATAACAGTGACTCATTTTCATGATTATAGTTTTAGAATATATTATATACATGATCATACGTAAAAGATGTAGCTTATTCCACACATCATAAGATCCATCACTCTGCCAACAGCACCATTTCTAACATGAAATTAAATCACAGATGCAGTTTATTGCCTACTAACTATTAACACTTTACCTAAGCAGTGTAAGAACAAACAGACTTAGTGCGAAAAACACACAGAATCATTTAAAATCAATGACTTAAAAAATATGTTATTATAATAAGAGAATAACATATCTAGGATACTTTTTGGGGTTGCTGTCCCAAACCCTAGCCCCCAAACTTTTTTGTATTTCTATTTTAAATTGAAGGATTTAGATTTATCATTTATCAGGTTAATTTTTAAATAAAAAAAAAGCTTAATTTAAAAAAGACTGTGATGTCACTACCGAAACACACATTTTAGTGCATAGGTGGAGCCTTGTTTTAGCCACATCCCTGCATTTTAGAGCAGGAAGTGAGACTGCATCCTTGTCCCTCATGCCCACATTGTGAGCAGCGAGCAGCAGATTCCTTTGTTTTGAAGTAAATGTGTCCTGAAGTCAGAGTAACATTAAGAATCGTCACTACCGAAACAGACTTACTGTGATTAAGTACACTCTTTGTGTTTTATTTGTTCAAAGTTGTGTTTGCTAATCTTGTACTGGCTAATGCTTTTGAGTTCTGCTTAAAATAACGTGAAATTGGTAATAGAATGATTGTTTTGGTAGTGACAGAGTGATTGACCATTTTGTCACTACCAAAACAGTCACTATATTACCAATTTTAGCTAACAAGCAAACTTTGAAAATTTTCAAAATAAATACAATAAATAAATACAATTAAGGTACAGGGTTATTGAAAGCAGAAGGTTTTTAGTCTCAAGTCCCAGACAAAAGTAAATGTACTTCCCAACCAACAACCAAAACTCATTCTGCTATGTTAATAACGCCAAGGCAGTCCAAATGGGGTGAAACTGCAATCCGTCTATCTATACCACTTTGTGTGATGACAAATGTCCTGCGATTGATCTGATAAGCTGCAGTACACAGTATCACTCTATTGTTACTAAAGTAGAACTCAATTAGAGAAGAGTACGTATGACACCACAGCCACACCTGGAGTCATCTGAGCCTGTTTCTGTTCTTTAGAGAACAGTTCTCTCTAATGAGAGATCATCTACTTGTGTCCTCATATGACCGGAGAGAGGGTGTCACTAAGTGAATGAATGAAATCACATAACATAGCCAAGAAATAGCCTTGGGCTGATGACTAATAGTATCAGATTCTTTCAACATCAAAATAATTAACTATGTAAAAGGCCTACACAGGGTGCCAATGCGGCAGTTTGGCAATAACTTGGGTTTCAACAGAATAAACATGGAGGACTACTGGATATTAACAGCGTTAAACGTCATTTGTGCAGAATATAGACATTACATACCATTACATACTATTAGAAGCTAGGCCAGTTGATTAGCATTTACCACTAGGGAAAATGGCAGCTGTAGAGTAAGACTGTAGCGCTCACTTGTGGTACTTCGTAACATAACTGAATTTAGATCATGATAATGTCATATATCACAATAGTTCTGCAGACTATAATCATTTGTCTAAATTTACATTACTGTCCAGTCTTATTAACGTCAAATCGACACTGCATGATATATTGTTATCTATAAACATGGTCAAAGGTACGTCACATTGCTAAGAACAGCATGAGCAGTCATCTTAAAGCCTAAATGTCCTCTGCACTTCTTTCTTTTTTATACAGTGTCAATGTTTTAACCCATAGTGTGCAATGTAGACAGTGCACAGACACAATTATGAACATTCCCACATAGTCTAACCAGAGTGGATCCATTACCTTCAAATTTCATTAGCAGATAAAGGAGCAGTCAGCCGGTCTGAGAATTCTTCAGCTAAAAGATGACAGGATTGCCTGACGTAACATCCTTATGAGATGTTCACTTTTAAAGGTATAATTTCAGAGGAATGGATCTGATTCTAATTTGCGAGTTCTTCAGTAAGTAATGTTCATTTGTCACGTGTCAGTAGTGTTCATTTATCACAGACAGAGAGACTGAGTTCATTTGCGTTCCAGTAAGGAGGACAGAATGAATTGGTGGAGTTTAAATGAGTCTCTCCATTCATCCATTTTTTCATTCACTCAGTCTAAACACTCATTTTTTTTGTTACTGCAAGAAAGATGCAACTAAAATGATTCAGAACTTTATGCCTAAACATATTAGGACTTGTCAGAGCCACTACAGTAGCTTTATGCTGCAGTTTGGCAAAAGTGAACAAGTATAAACTGGTACTTAACCAATCAAAAATTAGAGATATGGTCATGTGACTTCTGCTTTTAAGGAACACTTCAGTGTATTTCAGCCTGTTCTCCAGCCACATCTGTAGCATACTGTCAGTTAGCATGGACAGTAACTTTAACACATTTCCCTGCTGATGCAAAATACAGTCATAATAGAAAGCCAATGGGCAGAAAACAGGTTTTCTGTTCTTTTGGTCAATATGGGCAAACAACTGAAATTGTGCTAATTTGACTGTGCGGTACAGATGCGGCAGTGTTCCAATTATATATGGGAGAAAAAGGAAGATTACCATAAATTACACAGTCATCCCGCTATGTTCAGATCACTAAAGCTGGTAGTATACTTCAAGTGAGTGCTGAAAGATGTTCACTAAGCAAAACAATATCTTTTTAGAGAAAATAACGTGGTGTTTTGAGCATGTTAGGTGTGGCATGTGCTGGCGGCCAAACAGAAGTCCTAATCAATTTGATCAACCCCTGACTTCGGGGCTGGTTCGCATATTAAATGGGTCAGGGTTCGCACACTTTTTAAACAGTGAAATTCCATGATTTTCCATGATATACATTATCAAGACAAACATCTAACATAGTGCTGGGCAATATATAATTTCTATCAGTATATGGTATCACTTTCCAGTAATATTTTCATCAATATATTTAATAGATAATGAGCATTTTATATGTGACAAAATAGCAGTCTCTCTGTTAGAGTGGTTTGTTTTTAGTCTTTTAATTGTATTTTGTGCACTTTATTAAGTATAAACTTTACAATCAAAAACAAATAATCTTGTAATACTGTGATACGTTTGGATACGTCATGATATTGAATTTTATCAATATCACTAATAGCACTAATTTAACATACAACTTAGCCGAATGACTGTGAGTGAAACTGAAATTTGACTTGTCTGGATAACACCAGGTTTAACCTTCTGGCCCCAGAGAGCGGATCTGTCATTTAGCTCACTACATTAATGTTCCATGAATTCAGAGCCTTAATGTAGCTGCAGCTCTTGATGTTTGATTAGGCGGCTGCAGTGCAGAGCGAGGGCTGTGACTCTCAGTAAAGAAGCCAGTCCCACCGCCCTCAGTCTGAGAAGCAGCAGCAGTGTGTAATTCCTTCTCCATTTGGCGTTTTAATTTGCCTTCTCCAGTGTTTGATTGTCAAAACATCCTCCGCAAAGTTCGCACCGGAGATTCATGCCAGTAAATGTTAGTAAAGCTAGTCAACTACTCCATGCAGGTCTCACAGTGTTTTTGCAGTTTGAACTCTTTAGTGTTTCAAAAGTGATGAGATGACTAACCGCATGGGGGAAAAGTCCAGGAAATTGCATGACTTTTCCAGCACTTATGGAAAAGCAAATTTCTATATTCCATGACTTTTCCAGGATTTTCATGACTGTATGGACTCTGATGGTTGCCTTCGTCACTGCATAGAGCAAGCCTGTGGTGGGGCTGAGTGCTGAAAGATGTGCACTGAGTTGTTTTTTAGCATACTTACAACAAAGAGGTTTTAACATGAGCTTACCATTTTCAGAACAGCATAGAATTTTTTTTTGGAAGGACAAATAATCAAAACACAAAAGTGTTTCTAATTACACAGAACTCAGAATCCTTCAAGATCCAGATTTCTCATTACAAGTCACACACTGTAAACAGACCAAATGTAGCCTATTTGACATATCTGATATTCGTCCTTCCCGCAGGCTAGTGCAGCCTATGAATTCAGCCACTTGAATTGTTTTTATGTAAATGTAGTCTGACATTTTCCTCTTGAAAAGTTCAACAAATGTATGAAACAGCAGATTTGAACATTTGATTGTAATAACAGCATGACTTAAGACGCTGAGGGAATTACAGAGACTCCAGTGGCAGTGGCTCAGAGCTAAGACCAAAAAATGAGTTTATTTACCACAAAAGCATGAATCGCGCAGGCCTAAACTTGACCTCAGTTAACTTATGTAGCTGGTATATATCTTGATATTGCTTAGAGAAGTAGCTTAGACAAAAGGCTAATGTTGATAGCAATTACTGAATCAAAATGATCATCACGCCAAATTTAAACAGTGTCTACTACCACATTAGCATGTTTGGTCTAGCTACTCCTTTAAGCCTAAGTGGGAATGTTTGGTTTACAAGAGGGCTGTTGAAATTGCTCAGTGCACCAAATGGTACGCCATTTAAGACTGGAGTTAACTAAGCTATCTGCAAAAGTGACCCGTTTGTATCTGCAAGTGTGTAAAGAAGCCCACCTTGCCCTCAGCGCTGGGTGAAGAGTCAATCATGTCTATGCTAGAGGCTCCCGACATGATCTGTCCATTGCAGATGGCGTGTGGCACGTACACATGGCCGTCTACACAGCACTCTATGAACTCCATGTTGTTTTCAGTCAGTGTTCCTGTCTTATCTGTGAAGACATACTCCACCTGAGAGAAAGACAAAGAAAGATACTTAAACAGATAAAATCGCTGGTGCATAAAGAGAAGCAGGAAGGAGGTCTTATAGATTCAGTCACTTTCTACTCAATAAATAACTCAATATTTATAAATCAAGTTTGTGACAAATTACAGTATGAAAAGATACACCAATGTTGAATAAACAATTTATTATGAAAAATAATCACAGTAAAAAATCCTCCACCAAACAATGTAGTTCATTAACAGCAGAAATCAAATTCATTCAGTGGGGATGGTGGGAGCAACAGGCTGTTAAACCCACCTAATATTAACATATATTAAGTACAAATATAAATATTAAGACAACCTCTGAAGATTACACGCTCCAATTTTCACTTTTAACTTAAACATCTCTCACAGGTTAACCCTGGTTATCATACATTGTTTTTTTTTTCTTTTTAAATACTCCAAAGATCTTGCTACATTTTTAAGCATTCTCTAGGGTGGTGAGGGTTGCCAGGTCCAGCATAAATCTCCAGCCCAAAGTCTGCTTAAAAGGCGTCCACCAGAAGCAAAAACTTTCTTTTTCTCCTGCAACTACATTTTCAAACTCTCTCAATTAGAGGGAAAACCACAAACCTGGCAACTCTGATATTGAAAACCTCAGATAATATCGATATTGCTAATGAAAAACTTAAGAGATCCAAAGGGGACGAAAAGGGGGATAGTAATTTACGGGGGGGGGGGTGTGGACTGGGGGGACAGCATCCCCTTGCAATGTGCTATGACTGGAAAGCAACAAAATTCTTTCCAAAGTTTTTGGTGTGGTATTACTGATGTGTGTGGCCAGATTTTACAACAACTTCAAACATGACTCAGCCAATCAGATTGTAGAACCAGAACTATCTGTTTTATAAACTAAACTTAACAAAGTCAGCAATTTAAAAGAACCCTCAGGCCAAAACATAGCCATCTCTACATCTGTTCTAGGGACTACTGCAGTACTGCAATACTCCCTAGAGGGAGATTTTCTGGTTTAAAGACTAGGAAAATCCCTCTACTGATGATGTATCTGGAAAGTGAAAGAAAAAACTCTAAGAACCTTTGGGCAGATACTTGTGGGTTGGCTGTTTGAAATATTTCTATTTATTTATTTAGTTTGTTAGTTATTTTTGCTAGCTGGCTGATGCAGAAGGACGCCAGATAGTAAAGAAGATTCCCAATGGTAATATGATGTATTAGCATAATGCATGCTGGGTATTGTAGTGCAAGAACATGGATGGAGGAAAAAGGATACAAAATTGTACATTCTATCAAGCTGAGGCTGAGGAATGCATCACTGCAGTAACTCTACTAACCCCTACTAACTCTCTGATACTGCAACAGAGCTCCAGCTCCACATGACTTAGAATCTCTAGTCTGAGAGCATTTACCTCTACTACAAAAGTTCAGCAGTTTGCCCTCACCTGTCCGAGTTCTTCATTAAGATCTGACGTGTTGACCAGGGCTCCCTCACCCAGCTCTTCATCAAACATCTCGTCATCCCATGAGATGAAGTAGGAGCCCAGGAATTTCTGCATCTCCACCGTAACATACATAGAGACAGGAATGATGTAGTTGAAGAGGACCATGAAAGCCAGGAAGTCTGTAAACGCTCTTATTAACTGTGGAAAAAAAACAAGAATGGAATGAGAACTACAGGTAAAAATGGCTGCCTGTCCATTTTCAACCCAACTGAAGCTGGTACATGATGGAATATGTAGTTGCTTAATGAAGCAGGAACTTTGAAGATTTTCAGTTTTGTTATGGAACATAGCCTAAGATAGAAAAAAACACCTTTAGATGCATCATGGGAAATGTAGTTTCTAGTGCAGTGTATGCACTAGTATATTGTGAGGTTTTCCACTGAAGCAGCAACACCAAACACGTCTAACTTTAAAACCTGAGTTTCCATGCTGGCGTTTTCCGTCTACTGATGGAACACAGCCTGACACAGAACAACACATTCAGACGAATTGTGTGAAATCTGGTGTATTGTACATACTATGTGTCGTTGTCTCTCGGTCTCCGTTTTTTGGTTGTACCAGGGCTCGTCTCTGTTCGGGTCAGCCTGCCACACGTACTTAAAGACGGTATTGATCAGGGCTTTACTGATCAGGATGCATAAGTAAACAATCAGGTATGCATTCATTGACCTGTAAAAACAGAGAACAGTAAACAATCATGAGTCTGGTCTGTGATTGTTAAAGACAGATGGAGAGTAAGCTGATCAGCATTGTGATTGTCATCACGGCACTCGTCAGTACTTTTAGAACATTGCACAACTGTCTGGATTGTGCAAAAACAGGGCTCTTAGATTTAAGACCAATTTAAGAGCCCGTAAACAACAACAATCAGTTTATAGTAACTGTGTAAACTGCATTAGGGACACAATGACACCAATACGGGTATAAGGTGTCCATCTGATACCATGCTCATTTATTCGTAAAAAACATACAGATGACTACACCTGATACCACCCGATACCACGTAACGTAAGCCTAGTGTATGCTGCCACACTCATGAACAAATGACTCAAGCTGGCAGCAGAGAGGATTCATGATGCGAGAGCCAACTTGTCAACAAATTGCCAGGAACGTGGTGACGTGGTTTTGGCAAGCAGGAGGAGGGGCTCACCAACTTGGGACCTGAGCCCCCATTCACAGCAGTAGGAAATTCTGCCCATTTCAGCAAACTCTAGCGATTATCTTTGCCCCCTTTACGATTACAGCAAACTTGCTAGAGTCTTGTGACTAGTTTGAGCCTAAAATGCATTTTGCATCAAGCTGATTTTAATAAAAAAAAACAGTTTTGTTTCAGGTTTGTTCAGCCACCTGCAGGGTCTTTCTGCACAGTCCACTGCTGTTACCCTGGAAGAAGGGAAGTGGTTGACGCAAGA